GGAGCTTGGTCTGTGTGTGCACGCACGTGACGTGCGGGACCCACCAAGAATTACGCTCAACCGAGCTCGCGGGTCGACGGCGCCGTGGTGGCGATGGTGGTGGTGATTGTAGTGGTGGTGCTGATGGTAGTGGTGACTATAGTGGTGGTGATTGTAGTGGTGGTGTTGGTGGTAGTGGTGACTATAGTGCTGGTGATTGTTGTGGTGGTGTTGGTGGTAGTGGTGACTATAGTGGTGGTGATTGTAGTGGTGGTTTTGGTGGTAGTGCTGACTATAGTGGTGGTGATTGTAGTGGCAGTGATCGTAGTGGTCGTTATTGTAGTGACGGTGATCGTATATTGGTGGTGGAGGTGGTGGTGACAGCGGTGGGGTGTGTCGCGCGTTGTGTCGTGGGTTGTGCTGTGCTCCCACCACCCTCCCTGGTAGTTGTGTTCCGTCATTCCCAATCTGGGTCATCCCCGCGCAATTAATCAAATCTGTGGGATGAGAGGGTCCCCTGGGGCGGGAAGTTGTAGCGGGGGTGCGGGCTTCCCCCGCTGTTAATTGTTTCCGGACACGAGCTCCCCCCCCCCCCGCCACAAATTGACACCGAGAACCACGACGCGTCCCTGATTAATCGCTGAGTCTCGCCCGGGGTCTCCTGGGGTAGAGGAGACGGAGGGAGGAGGTGTGAGTTGGGGGGGAGAAATTGAGGGGTGAGTGAGGGAAGCGGACGGCGCTGGGCGCGATAAGCGGACGGGGACGATGGGAGCTGCGTTCACAGGCGCGGTGGCGGGAGAGAGACAGAAGAGAGAGGGAAGAGAGATGTGGGGGGCGGGAGGGGATAGAGGTGGGGAAGGGGGGAGATATGGGGAAGAGAGAGAGGGTCGGAGAAAGACGGAACAGGCGAGCGAGTGGAAGGGGAGAGAGGGGAGAGTGGGGGAGAGAGAGGGGGGAGGGTCGGAGCCCTCGACCACACATTTTTTAATGGTTGTGTTTTTTTGAGAATCACGTTCTTCGTCAGTTTCAAGGGAGTGGACAAGGTGGAGAAATAGGGAGTGAGTCGTCTCGCTTGCCCCTCACTCATCCTCGGCGCGGGTCGATGTGGAAGTTGTTTTGGTGGGAAACATCGATCGCCTTGCGCTCCTCAGAGATTAAACGCGCTCTCTCACACTTAACCACAACCACCGCGCTCACCGCAATATTCACCAGACTCACTGCGCTCACCACAACATACAGTACAATCACCAGAATGCACAACACAATATCCACCACACTCACCCCACTCACCACATTACCCAGACTTACCACACTCACTCACCCCCTCACCATACTCCCCACAGTCAGCCTGCTCACCACACTCACTCACCACGACACACTCTCTCGGCTTCACTCTCGCACCGTGAGGGGTCGATATTCAGGTAACACAAAACGAACATCGGGCATTTCATCAGCAATGGTTCAAGTGAACCTGACTGCTGATGAGTCACTGAATGTGGAAACCGATCCAGAGTGTTCTGCTGAAAAGGGCGCTCCCAGAAGGCCGCGGGATTGCGTGAGAAAGATAGCGCGTGTATATGTTTGAAATGTTTTATGTTGAGAGAAATACGTGGAGGAGGCGAATTGTCTGCTTATCTGTTTTTAGAATGCCCGGGGGGTGGGGCGGGTGGGGGCATTGCGAGGGCGGTGGGGGGGGGGGGGGGGGGGGGGGTCTCACGCGGTTCAAAACTAGACGCGGGGCCGGCACCCACAGCTCCCACCCACTGCCCTCAGCTCCGCGGAGAGCTCAGAGCAGTTTTGCTGCTGATGCTGAGTATGATGATGCTGTTGCTGATGATGCGATGATGTTGATGCTGCTGCTGCTGCTGATACCTACAAGGAAGTTGCAAAGGGTGATCACGGTGGTGGAGATGCTGATGACGCTGATTGGGGTGAAGCGTAGAGCTCGCGGTGGTCCGTGTGAAGGCAGCAATGGCTCGGGGGGGGGGGGGTGAGAGGGGGGGGGGCTTGCCTAATGGGGTAATTACCCGCCGATAATGAATAGAATTTACATAAAGTCGCTGCAATTAGTGTCCTTGTGGGGGGCGGCAGGCGTTGCGCACGTGACATATTAAGGCGACACGTGACCAATTATGTCCTATTAACCCTGTCCCCCACCCTACTAACGTCACCTGGGTGGGGTTAATTTGTGGTCAATTATCGCGGTCCCGTGAGGTTCGTGTCGTCAGGAAGAGAGAGGGGGTGACACGCGGAGTCGATTGCGGTTGTGCTAATGGTGGTTGTGGTGCTCTGCGGGATGTTGATGCTGGTGGCACCTTTACATTTTTTAACACACTGAGTGCAGGCTCAAAGGTCCAAAACGTCAAATTACCAGCAACTAACAGCACTTTCAAGTTATAGTGGATACAAGTTGACGCGTTGCTTGAATCGAACAACACGTTCCGTGTGAACACGGTGGATATCTAATCAGCAACGTTTCGGGCATGCAGGCTATATGAACCAGCCAACGCAGTCTCGCCTACCAGAGGAGCTCACCGATGGGACTGTGTCCAGATCTTGCAAAGATCCGTGAGCTCCCCGTATAATCTAGTCTGGTTAGACCCAGCATGGGTCGTAGGCAGGCCAGCCTGAATGTTTAAAACTAGCGAAGATGTTCCTTCAGATGGTTCCACGTTTCGCAAGCATGTAGTATGGAGCGACAGGGAAGGTAGCTTCCACATAGCGTTACGCAGCCAATTAAAATATAACACTTCTCGTCTGATTTGGAGTGAGTCAAACTGTAACTGGTCATAAACACACAGACGCACGCACACGCTCACACACACCAACGCACGCTCACACACGCACGCACGCTCACACGCAGGCGCGTGGCGCGCGCCTCCCGTGACCCTGATCGCGGCACATGGCCAAACGCCCCGATTCTGCGCGCCTCGCGAGAGCGGAATTTACACATCCAGTGACACGGCACTGGGTCAAAAATCACACACACCTAACACACACATTGCATATCACACACACACAGACCTAACACACACATTGCATACACGTAATATATATATACACACACACACATCACGCGCACAAGTCTCTTTGCATTATCTGGCTCGATTCTCATTTCAACTTCAAAAACCTCACGATCGACATTCTGAATAACAAATGAAGAATGAGGATGGGAACTTTGTAAAGAAGAAAATCCCGCGTCTCATCTCCTACACGGAAACATCGGGTAGCTGCTGCCTCTGTGCCGATCCGAGACTTTACTGACATTAGATACAAATCAACTTCCAATACCACTTTGGATTTGCTAAATCCCGACTTTCATTCGTTCTCACACTTTATCTTACAAACCAACGTCTCCACTCATCACTGTGATCTTTACACCAATACCGGTTATCACCTCCGCGGGTGACTCATTGGGCCAAGTCCATTTCTGATGCAAGACAAATATCCCCCGCCAAGCCTTAATATACTGTAGGGGCAAATGTTGTTAGCGAGCACCTACAAATTCCGGAACGGCACACGAGGGGGTATGTGGCCAGCACCACGCCCGGCCGCCTTTGTTTCTTCACCGCACCAGGTACTCATTTGAGGCTGAATCAACCTAGGGGAGGCCTAGGACCAGTTCAGATAATCGTCACTGGTGCTGGTCGCCGTGAGCGGGAATAGAACTCGGCTCGCCAGGTTCATAGTGCGGCGCGCTAACCACTACACTACCGCTCCCCACATCTCGAGTCGACACACACTGACACACGTTACTCGGTCCCTCACCTACCCACAGTGTTTGTTTATTCAGAACCAAAACCCTCAAACTCCTAGACGCTCCATACGCAGTCTCTGTGACCAACACGGAGACCCATAGACTTGCACAGCTTCCCAAGACTCACACAGAGGCCCATAGATTCGGTGGGCAGGTTTCTCTGTTCATGCGTCAACCGCCTGGAATTCCATCACTTTATAAATAGCCTTGGTTCCTCTGCCATCTCAATCACAGTTCGATGCTCATCTATTGATTCGTTATAATAGCTTCACTGGTATGCACTGTATAAAACTTTTATCGCACCGTACGTAGCAGTTATTATTCACTCGTATATTGGTTTCTGTTTATATATTAGTCGAACAATCATCATAGACTTCCATTCCCTATCGACTTCCTCTGTCCATACACTTACATTACCTATAGACTTGCATTGTCCATTTAACTCGTCTATCCTTGTGTCTGTTTACATATCAGTACAATAGTCACCCAACATCTGTTGAATGTTTCTGTAACTTAGTGTTGTCATTGTGCCGTGATGGGTTTAAACATAATCTGCCCAAGCTGCCTCACGCTTCATGTAATTTAATATTTAAAAATATTCTCACGTGACAAAGCAGTTGTTTTTGCGATGATTTATCTTTGCTTAATTGTTGTTAATTTGGATGCCCCAGGTCACTCTTGCAAATGCGACTCATTCTGGTGTGTTCAGTTCACACCTGGTTGCACAAAATCAAACTTGAACCTGGATTTGCTAAGCGACGGTGACGTTACCACGGCGCTTGCCCCAGGCTAGGTGCACTCCGAGGCTATCACGTGGAGTGTGGAAGGCTTGCTGGCAGAAGGTCACGTGACAGACAGCAGGTGTTACGAGTTCACTGAGATGACTGGCAGATCCACCTCCTGTGCCTTCCCCGCCTTGCCACATCCACGACACACACGCGCAGGGATTAATTTTTACCGCGACCTGGTGTTGGTGACTGTGTTCAGCTCCATGCAGAAAACTGTACAGTGGTGCCGAGACTCCTATGCTGACCGAGAGTCGTGTCCGGGCTCGCCCAGTGGTGGAAAAGGTGGGGACCCTCGTGTCCACCCTCCCGCCATAAAGTCCATCTTCACGCAACTCCACCACACTCGCGCTCGCCCATTAGTGCGTTTCTCCTCACCCGAGTCTCCCCATATCCAAGATTCCACATTCACCCGCGTCCACCACCCGCGCCCGAGAGTCGACCCCCTTCCTTGACTCGCCGGCGCCCGCTGACTGCACGTGGTTCGAGCGCGCCAGCATGCTCGTGATCCTGCTCAACTGCGCCACGCTCGGCATGTTCCAGCCGTGCGCCGAGGGGCAGTGCCGCGCCCAGCGCTGCAGCGTGCTGCAGGTGAGGCCCCCACTTGCTCCAGGTAAGGCATCCAGGTAAGGCTGCCGAGTGAGGCTCCCAGGTCCTACAAGTGGAGCCTCCAGGTGAGGCTAGAAGTAAGCGGCTGCCTTGACAGGTGGTGTTCACGCTCGTCCTCTGGGTGATATTTCTCTGATATGTGCGAGTGTGTGATGATGAATTCAGTTCGGCTATGTTGATGGATAGAAATTACTTTTTTATGATGGTAATGATGACAATGATGATAGTGGTGATGATGATGATGGGGTCGTAGTGATGGTGATGATGGTGGTGGTCGTGGTGGTGATGGTGGTTATCGTGGGGATAGTGGTATTTATGGTTATGGTGTTAATGGTGGTGGTTATGGTGGTGGTAATCTTGGTGGTAATGGTGGTCACTCCAGGCATTCGATGACTTCATCTTCACGTTCTTCGCGGTGGAGATGATCCTCAAAATGATGGCGCTGGGGATCTGGGGCCGCGCGGGGTACCTGGGGGACACGTGGAACCGCCTCGACTTCTTCATCGTGCTGGCGGGGTAGCGCGCTCACCCCTCGCTCACCAGCGCTCACCCCTCACTCACCAGCGCTCACCCCTCGCTCACCCCGCGTTCACCCTGCACTCACTCTAGGCTCACCCTGCCATTACTCCTCACTCACCTTACGCTTACCCCGCGCTCAACTTCATTCATCCCTCACCCCTAGTTCACCTCACGCTCACCATCACTTACCCCTCATCCACCCCTCACCATTCACGCACCCTTCGCTCACCCACTGTTTACCACTCACTCACCGCTCACGCACCCTTCCCTCACCCCTCTCTCATACAACGCTTACCTCTCATTTAACTTCTTACACACCCCTCACTCACCCCGCGCAATGACTTACCCTTTACTCACCCCCTTAGCTCACCTCTCACTCACCCGACACTGACCCCTCGCTCACCTCTTGCTTACCCCTCACTCACAGCTCATCAACCTCTCACTCAGTCTCTGCACCCTGTCCTCGTCCTCCCCACCTCGTCCTCCCATCGTCCTCCCCACCTCGTCCTCCCATTGTCTTCCCGCTCCTCATCCTCTCATCCCCATCCTCCCCTCATCGTTCTCATCCCACATCGTCTTCTTTCTCGTCAACCTCCTCTTCTTGTCCTCCCCACCTGCTTCCACCTCGTCCTCCCCTCTTTGTCCTCTCACATCGTCCTCCCGAACCTCGTGCTCCCCACCTCGTCAGCATGCTGGAGTACTCGCTGGACATGGAGAGCGTCAGCCTCTCTGCTATCCGCACGATCCGCGTGCTGCGCCCACTGCGAGCGATCAACCGCGTCCCCAGTGAGACTCACTCACTCACCCATTTACTTACTCGCCCACTCACCCACTTACACTCACTTACCCACGCACTCACTCACCCAGGCACTCACCAAATAACCCACTCACTCACCCACTCATTCACCCTCAAGGCAGGTGTGAGTGATGCCAGGTGTGTGGGTGCTCACTGGGCAAGTGAGAGTGAAGTGAATGGGTGAGCCGTGCCCGCAAGACCGGAGTGAGCGGGTGAGCGGGTGAAAGGGTGAGCGCTGCCTCCAGGCATGCGCATCCTGGTGACGCTGCTGCTCGACACGCTGCCCATGCTGGGAAACGTGCTGCTCCTCTGCTTCTTCGTCTTCTTCATCTTCGGCATCGTTGGGGTTCAGCTGTGGGCCGGCCTGCTGCGCAACCGCTGCTTCCTGCGCGAGGCGAACGCCACCCTGTGAGTGAGGTCCCTGTGACCTACAACAGGAGTACCACACATGTATTCTGCAACAACCACCACCACCACCAAGTGTGGATAGGGTCACCAACTTACCGGATTAACCCGGACTGTCCGGGAATTTGCGTCTGTTTTGTTTGGGTAGCAGGAAATGATTTGTACCGAGATGTGGTGCCGGTGACCTTTGTTGAACTCTGTCAGAGTGACCTGCACAGTGGTTCTGAGGAACCTAGGCCGACTGCGGAATAGGTCCGGGTTTTCTGTGGAAGCGGCAACGACCTGAGCCGTGGTCTCCGTGCCTGCAGGGACGTGGACGGCTCCTCGCTACCGCTCTCGCCCGTGTTCCGCACTGAGGACGAGAGCGATCGGCCATTCATCTGCTCGCTGCCCCGCGACAACGGCGTGCGCAGCTGCCGCGACCTTCCAAGGTCGCGCCTCGCGGGGGGACCTTGCACCTCGGGGGGCGCCCTCGGCGAGGCGCAGCGAAGCAGCGGGGCGCGGAACGGTTCGGGGCCGCAGGGGCCCCCGGGCCCGTACAGCCCACACAGCCCCTATGGTCACTACAGTCCCTACAGTCCGCATGGAGGCCACAGCGCGCAAGCCATGGTGTCTATTCCTGAGAACCAGAGCGCGGCGGGGCGCGCCATATGCGTGGACTGGAGCCGCTACTACAGGTGCTCCCCTCCCCAACCCCCACCCTCTACTCACACCCTCACTTCTCAGCTCCCCCCTCCTCTTCCACCACGGACTCTCACCTTGCTACCCTTCCCCTCCATAACCTCCCACCTTCTCGCCCCCCGCACCCCCACTTTACCCCCACGTGGGGGGAGCAGCAATAATGAAACTTGAGCCGCTCGCGAGTTTCTCATGTAGATTGATACAAGTCTCGAAACAGTGAGGGGAGGGGTGGAGAGAGGGGGCGAGTGAGAGGGAAGGTTAGGGAGAAGGGGACCCTATACAGGATCTTTATACCCCTCGGCATTGATCCCCCTGCCTTGATCCTCTTTGCTTAACCCCCCCCCCCCCCCCCGCCTTGATCCCCTATCGTGATCCCCCTGCCGAGACACCCGAATCTTTACCCCCTCTCCACCCAGGATTGACTCGTCTATCGTGATCCCCCAGTTGTGATCCCACGGTCTTGACCCGCTTCTCTTGGTTCCCCCACTCCCACCCAGCGAGTGCCGCCCCGGGAAGAGGAATCCGCACGGAGGCTCTGTGAACTTTGACAACATCGGCTACGCGTGGATCGCCATCTTCCAGGTGAGACAAGGGGAGGGAGACGATGAAGGGGGAGAGGGGCGAATCTAAGTGAGGGGGGAGAGTTGGGGTTGGGGGGTGATTATCGCAGGGACCGCGGAAGCTCTGCGCTATGGTTGATGTAATTATGTTGGAACTTCTTTCGCACCGTACGTAGCTAACCGTGCTAATCGGAGGTTCGGGGGAAGGACAACAAACTAAGAGTGACTGAATAATTCCCTAATTCTCGTCTCAGACGCGACCCGGTAGACGATGCTTGTGTGGTGATAGCAGTGGTGGTGCTGGTTGTGTTCATGATGGAGATTGTGGTGGTGATGTTGACAGGTGATCACGCTGGAGGGATGGGTGGACATCATGTATTACGTCATGGACGCGCACTCCTTCTACAACTTCATCTACTTCATCCTCCTCATCATTGTGAGTCTGCAGATCGGGGGTGGGGGCATCTTGAGTTTGTTTGATTCCCACGCATGGCCAACAAGAGTGACAAATATCTGAGACAGTTCTGGGCCTCGCCTAGGTCGGTTCAGCCTTAAATTAGTACCTGGATGCAGTGTGTAAATATTCCGCTGCATGTGGTGCTGGCCACCTACCCCCTCGTGTGTCGTGTTGGTCTTCATAGTTGCTCGCCCAGCATTTACCCCAATACTATGCTAATGATGACGGGGGGTCGATGTCATTCGTGTGTGCGCAGGTCGGGTCGTTCTTCATGATCAACCTGTGCCTCGTGGTCATCGCCACGCAGTTCTCCGAAACCAAGCAGCGTGAGAACCAGCTGATGCACGAGCAGCGGGCGCGCCTCGGATCGCGCGGTAGCTCCATCGACAGCGCGGGGGGCTATCAGGTGTGTGTGGTGGTGGGGGGGACACGGGGACGGCAGCTCCAGTCGACACACCCAACCCACTCGCACACGTTCAGTCTACACCCTGTGAATGCATTATACTCGACTCACTCACCCATTCACGCACCCACTCATCACACTGCAGGTGGGACATTTAATCCTCCCATCGCCATCTCTTTCCCCCAAGCTCTCATAAGAATAACCTTGCTCAATTCAAGAAACGTGTTAATCTTTATCTATTGCAACTTTCATGGTGCTGTCCGTTGCAGGTCGTTTGGCGTTTTGTGTGTGTCCTCAGTAACTGTATTACACACACTGCGTGCGTTACTACGCACGATCTGCGTGACACGTGGGGGTAGATGTCGCCGTCAATTTAACGCGTAATTTACTCTGTGAATCGAGTGTCGCGCGGATCCCCCCAGGCGACTCATGCAATTCCTCCTCATGACTCTCCCCACTCCTGCCCCCCCCCCCCCCCCCGTTCTGCTTCTGCTCCTTCTGCACTCCCCCACTGCACCCCTCCCGCGCACCCAGGAGCCGGGCAGCTGCTACCAGGAGCTGCTGCGCTACAGCGCGCGCGCCTGCCGGAGGCTGCGGCGGCGCGCGCTGCACCTGTGGGGCGCCTGCTCCTCCGCCTGCTCCTCCTCCCGCAACTCCACCTCCTCGTCGCGCCCGCGCTCTGCCATGCGTGGCTCCTGCTTGGAGCGCGGCGGCTGCCTCCACGTGGTCAAGCGGCGCCCGCGCTGCTCCTGCCGGCGGCACCGCTCGTCCTCCCTCCTCCATCACCACTACCAGCAGCAAAGCCACCGCCGGCGGCACGTCAGCCACCACCACCACCATCACCGCCACCACCACCATCACCACAACCACCACCACCGGCGGGACGGCGGCGCGGCCCGGGGCACCCTCACTGGCGGCGGTGGCGGCGGCGGCAGCAGGAGGAGGAGAACGTGCAAGTCGGTCCACCACCACATGATCCACCACCACCACCATCACCACCACCACTATCACATCGGCAACGGCAGCGGCCAGCAGCAGCAGCAGTCGGCAGCGGCGGCGCCCGGGATCCTGCAGCTGGAGGCAGGAGAGGCGGGGGCCCCCCTGGGTCCTGGGGGGTCTAGTGGGGCCTTGGTGGTGCGTGGGCGCGGGGGACGTACCGCCTCCGTGCACAGCGTCTTCCACGCCGACTGCGTGCGCCTCGACTGCCCCCCCACGGGGACCAAGCAGCCGCTGTCTTCCCCCACGCAACACGTCGTGCCCCCCATCAGCTACCCGACCATCATCGCATCGGGCCCCCCACGGAACGAGGATGTGGCGAAAGCAAAGGCGGCGCCAGGGAGGGGGGGCTCCATTGCTCCCTACAGGGGGCTGCGGCGTTTCTCACGCACCTACAGCAGTATGTGTGTTCGTATGTGTGCGTGTGTGCGGTGGTGCGGTGGTTAGCGCACTGCGCTACGAATCCGGCGACCCGACTTCGATTCCCGCTCACAGCCAACCAACATCGGTGACGAATATCTAAATTGGTCATGGGCCTCCCCTGGATCGACCCAGGATTATAAGAGTAACTGATCTATACACATGTAATGGGTTCAACTGAGTCGCAGACGTAGACTTTGGAGGCAACACATTTATTCAGTTCCAACACACGGGGTAACTTCCCCTTAACAGAATAACAACCTAAGTTGGTGACCACTAGTTACTACACTAGTTACCACGTAACTAGCTATTACGGACCGGAACCAACGACTTCGGCCCGGGTCCACGTGTTGGACACTCGTTGAACGGAGATCGTAGACGAAGGGTTTCTTCCAGGATGAACAACAACCCTGGTCCCTCTCGGGATCCGGCTCATATTTTCTGTGGCGTGGCCGACTCAGCCCTTGGCCACGTCCACCTTCCAGAATCCTCGGGAAGGATCTGGGTCCCAATCACGTGACCCCCCTAGCTCCCTCTTGGGGCCCCTCTGTCAACTTAACCGGTCACGTGTCTTCCCGGGTCAACCAGAGTGCCATGACCTCACACAACCTTATCCGTCGGTCGACACCCACACACCCTGTCCTGTAGGGCCGGCACTGCACTTACAGCCTGGGGAAATCCAGCGCTATTATCCAGCGCACACCGTGCCCCTCTAGGAACTATACCCACAGCATGGTGGCATCCGGCGATGTCACTACACACATATAAGAATTGGTTTTACCCTTTCTGGCAATAAAACATGTGCTAAGATGTTAAAACACCAAACAGAAACCATTTTAAAGAAATCGTATCTCCATTAACCACACACACATGTTCAATTGCCAGAAAGTCAACCAATTCTAAAATGTTTATACTGGTTAAGAAAGGTCCCATGATGATCTGTACACATCAGCATTGGGGATACAAAGGCGGACGTCTGCCGTGTTGGCCTCAATAGGTACTCGTTAACATCACTTGCCCCAGCAGTCTGTTAAGGGTTATACGGGGATCGTTGTATTTGTATGCACGCGAGTCCGTGCATGTGCCAGGCTGACCGCTGTTGTTTAGATCCCCTACACAGCCATTTGCCAGGTCCAACAGCGACCACTAACCACCACCATCATCATCACAATCAAAACCACCACCATCACAATCACTACCAAGCATCACCAGTCACCACCACCAACACCACCACTATAAGTGACCCATGGGTCCGCGCTGCAGGTTCGCGCCGGGACTCGGGTCGCTCCCGCGGGTCTCCCTCGCTTCTACTGGAGCGGGAGCTGCAGCGCTGCCCGCACTGCCCGTCCGACAGCTCCGAGTGAGAGAGCGCACCCCGCCACGCCCCCTCCGCACCCCACCACGCCTCCTCCGAACCCCACCACGCCCCCTTCGCACCTCACCACGCCCCCTCCAGGGCCGGGGAGGGGCACAACGCTGCCTTCACCTAGCGGACACGGGTCACTGGATCAGGGATAAATGCAGTGAGATTTTACTGCCGCGACCTGGCCCGCGTGGACGTTATAGACCTCGCCGCGTTTCGCCACGGCGGCGACGCATGCACAGCCCCCCAGAAGGGCGGCGGCTCCAGACGTGCGTGGTCACCTTCGTGACGCGGCCTCCACGAGTCCGGCCGCCAAGGGGAAGAGAACACCTAAGGGCAGACGTGGGATACTGTCAGGGCAAATCTATGGGTGTCTGAGTGAGTCTATGATGTATCTCTGTGCGAGTCTATGGGTTCGTGTGAGTCTCGGAGCAGATTGTGGGATGAGGCTGTCAGGGCTGTGTTTCGGAGGCCGCTGCGCGTCTCCTGCGCAAGCATCTGCGAGATCCGGCAGAGGGTGGAGCGCCTTGGTGGCGATAACGGGCGGTGGTGGTGACATCAGTAGCTTCGGCCGCGATGACGTATTGGCCGTGTATTACAATGTGGCCTTAAAACAGAACAAACAGGCGGAGTTTCGGGCAATGACCCTTCTTCATAGCACCATTTATATGCTATGCAGAGGGCCATTGCCCGAAACGTAGAATATTATATACCGTGTTATTGACGGGTGTGTTGAGTTGCTTTGTTATTTTTGGTCGTACACCGCTGCCAATGCAGCAGCATTATCGCCAGATCACGTGGCCAATTACAATAGGAAAGCCGTATGGGGATCTCAGGACTGATTGTCAGGATCATGGTCATGATCCATCCATCATATTGGCCAATCCTGTTTTTAAGGAGTGATGTTTGCTTCATGTCGGAGGAAACTGGAGAACACTCAAAGGTCTGCACAAACGGGTTCACAAACCCTCTTGCCCTACTACCATCTGGTCACCTGGCATATCAGCTGGTTTGGAAATTTTACGAATCTCTGTGTAATCCACCAATCCCATTTCCTTCAAAACGCTGTATCACGTTACGGTTCATAAGGGTCACCATGCTCAAGGTGACCCCGAAGCGTCGAGCGAGAGACGCGGCGGCGCGCGACTCAAATTATATCCCGTGCCCCCCCGCAACCCTCTACCGTCCCCCACCCCCCACCGTCAGCTGTGATTGCAGTGACAGCGATAGTGGGAGTGACACGGGGTCGGGGCTCGGGGCAGAGGGACCCCCGGACCCCCGAGAATCCCGGGACCTCCGGCGTCCGAGCGGCCATCGGGACCAGGATCGGCCCGAGGAGGGGTCACCTCGCCGGGTGGGTCCCTCTGCCCCTGACCCCTGCCGCCGTCATTGCCTCCTTCAGCAATAGCACCGCTCAGGTCAGCGGCATGAACCCGCAGAGTTACTTCAGTGACGCCCTAACTAGCCGCCCTCCCACCCTCCCCTCCTCTGCCAGGTGGCCGGGCCCCCCGCGCGAGCGCGCAGGTGGGGGCCCGCAGGGCCTCGCTGGGCGCGTGCGTGGGGAACCGCGGGCCCTCGATGGGCGCGCGTGAGCCGCTGGTTCCGCGCGATCGTGGAGAGCAAGTACTTCACCCGTGGCATCATGGTGGCCATCCTCATCAACAGCCTGAGCATGGGCATCGAATACCACGAGCAGGTGCGCAAACCCCACCACCACCACCTCCTCTCTCTCTGTCTGCTGCCAAGCGCTGTCGAGTAAATCTTGAAGATTCAGATGCTGAAGTATTTGGCTTCAGCAGTGTGTGAATACACTTGACTAATTTGGGGTGTAATTTTTGCGAATTTGTAAAATTTGGACCATGATAGTTTTTTGGTTAATACCGAAGTACTTACCAGGGTGGCTTGCCGGATTTAAATTGTGAAACTTTGCAACAAGTGGCGAGCGCGCTAGAGCTGGGCCATGTCACCGCTCAAATTAATGGCAAGACGAGTGTTTCAGCTCCTCCACTTCCTCCCTCCATCTCCACTGCAGCCCGAGGAGCTCACAAATCTCCTGGAGATCAGCAACATGGTGTTCACCAGCATCTTTGCGCTGGAGATGCTCATCAAGCTGCTGGCGTTCGGGCTCCTGGGCTACATCCGCAACCAGTACAACATCTTTGATGGCATCATCGTCATTATTAGGTGCGTCACCACCACCATCACCACCACCATCAAAACAATCACCACAAAAACCACAACCACCATCCAGTACTGCAACATCACCACGACTGCCATTGAAAACTCTAACACAAAACCATTACGAGCATCACTGGAGAATTCGAAAAAATAAATAAGAAGACGATTGGCCACCTTTCCATATCTGTCCCTCCACATACAAAATGCCATTCTTTTGACACATCCCATCAGCCACATAACCTTTTGGCAGTGCATACTTTTATCAGCCTTTGTGTAATACAAGCAAACTCTGGAACGGTTTCGACATTCAATGTCTGATCAGCAGTCAGGATTTCTTGAACAATGCTAATGAACTGCCAGATGTGTCTAAGCAAGGCCTCTGCCGTACGGAAACTGGATTACAGGGTAGTGGTTGGAGCGTGCCTTTGTGTATTTCAACCACAATCACGCTCTCACGTCAACCATATCACAACCACGCTCATACGTCAAGCACGTGGTAGGCAGCAGCAGCATCACCGCTTGCCCATATATCATGGTCACATTCAGTCGCGGCTCGTGACATTTTAACTAGGTGGGGCTGTTGTGAGTGGTGTTCTAATTAAGAAAAACCTCGTCATGTTATTGCTGCCATCGCCATTGCTGTTGTTTCCTCCTAGAGCGTGTAGGCCGTGACCTGCTGTATCTGCAGAGTGACGTCGTCTCATTATAGCCATGGGCGCCTTTTTCACCGCCCTGAATGTGTCTCTAACGGCGTGGCTACAATGCGAAGTTACTCGCGATGACTGATCGGATATCTCTCAGTCGGACGCCTTCACAGCCGCCCAGAGACCTCCCCGAGGCACAAATCAGACTGTGTTGAAATAATAATTATACATAAAAAACATAACAAAACAATTGATAGAAAAGTATTTTTTATTAGAACAATAATTTCTCAACTCCCGCTGCTTGGTGGGGTGGCGCACCAACGCCCCTAGTAGACGAACCGCGGCTGGCCACAGTGCCTTTGTCCCCGCGTGTCTCATCGTGTCCGCGTGTCCCCCCCCCCCCACCGCAGCGTGTGCGAGATCGTGGGGCAGTCGGGTGGGGGGCTTTCGGTGCTGCGAACGTTCCGACTGCTGCGCGTGCTCAAGCTGGTGCGCTTCATGCCCGCGCTGCGGCGCCAGCTCGTGGTGCTCATGAGAACCATGGACAACGTCGCCACCTTCTGTATGCTGCTCATGCTCTTTATCTTCATATTCAGGTGTGATGCGTGCAGGGACATCTCTCCATCAGGCCCAGCACCCCTGGGAATCGCGTGACTCTTGTGTGACCACCCATACTCTGAATCCATCCTCTCTCAGCTATATATCGACACCTTTCTATTTAAATCAGCTCAAGCCTCTCGTCAATCATGTGACTGGTGTTTTACCACTTCCACTCTGAGCCCCTCCCCTTCCCCCACCGCCTCCTGTGAGAATAGACGCTGCTTCTCGGTGCAGCAGCAATAGCGTCGAGCCCTGATGTAGCCTCCTCCTCCCTCTCCTCCTACATCCTTATTCCCCATTCATTGTCTTCTCTCTTCAATCTCCCACTCCTGTTTTCCCATGCATCTCATCCCTGACTCTGCTCTCATTCCCGCGTGGTGCTGTGTCGCCACGGCTACACAGCTGCCAGTGACAGCCATAACGCTCATGACACCAAGGGTCATGGTCGCTCAACACTTGGCGGCCTGGGAACTCAACGGTGGAGCGGGCGGCTCGGGGGCGGATCCAATGGGGGAGGGGGGGAAGGGGCGTTCTCCCTCCCTCTCCCCCCACCCCTTGAGACTCAGAAATTGATATTTATTGACCAGAGGAAATATCTTATTATAAGCAATGCAGTGGCCTGTATTAAAAGATAAATATTTTGGAGCCCCTTATCCCCGCACACCCATCACGCTCATGTGGAGAGGTCTAGATCCGGCTTTGTAGTGACTCGAAATGTTCAAATCCCGGCCAGGGTTGGGTTGACTCAGCTTATCATCCCTTCCTTTGGCGGTCGATAAAATGAGCACCACTTTGCGGGGAAGTCAACAACAATAATTATCCTATGGATAGACTCGCCTCCACCGTAAGAATGTGGAAATTACACCACTGGCTCAGGAGGGTTGTATACAGGAGATAAGCACCAATGCCTTAATGCTCGTTTGAGTAGAAACCTGAATGCTCACGTAGGGCCCATCAGCCGACCCACTGATGGATGATCACCTGCTAGCGCAGTGCGGGTCATCGGCGTAATTAGACCATACTTCACCGCGCGGGTCCGTGCTGGCTATTGAAGGCGGGCGGGGAGACGCGTTGGAGCATAGTGCAGTACAACTATGTGCGTTGTGTGCGTGGCGTCGCAGCATCCTTGGGATGCATCTCTTCGGCTGCAAGTTCAGCGTGAAGACAGAGAGTGGGGACACGGTCCCCGACCGCAAGAACTTCGACTCGCTCCTTTGGGCCATCGTGACCGTCTTCCAGGTGCGTGCAGGTGGATGGGTGAGTGGGTGAGTGAGTGAGTGAGTGCGTGGGTGAGTGAGTGGATGGGTGAGTCAGTCGGTGAGTGAGTGAATGGGTGGTCCAGTGGGTGGGTGAGTGTATTGTTGTGACCTGCCGTGTGGAGGAGACGATCGGCCTTTGCTGTGGCTCTGGGTGCTCCCTTGTGGCTCTACATGCTCCCGTGTGGAGCTGCGCGTGTCGTTCCTCACCCGCTTGCGGACGGCAGTGCAGATCCTGACGCAGGAGGACTGGAACGTGGTGCTATACCACGGCATGGCCTCCTCCTCACCCTGGGCCGCGCTCTACTTCATCGCGCTCATGACATTCGGAAACTACGTCCTCTTCAACCTCCTCGTGGCCATCCTGGTGGAGGGCTTTCAGGCCGAGGTCTGCCTCACTGTGCATGCGTCTGTCTACACGTCTCTCTGTCTCGGTGTGAGTCTGCCTGTGAGTGTGAGTGGTAGTCTATCCACTGGTCCGTCTTGCCATAGGTCTGCCCGTTTGTCTGTTTGTGTGTCTGTGTGCGTCGGTAGCAATGGAGTAGTGGTGAGTGCACTGCGTTACAAACTTGAAGACCCGAGTAAGATTCCCGCTCACCACCAATAAGTCACGAATATATGAATCGCTCCTGGGCCTTCTCTATGTCGACTCAGCCTAAAATAAGTACCTGGTGTGGTACGTAAACTGGGGAGACAAAGGCGGTGGGGCGTAGTGCTGGTCATCAATCCCCTCGTGTGTCATACCGGCCTTCATAGGTGCTCGCTAACAGCACTTGCCCATACAGCCTGAGTGGGCTACACAGGGGAGGTTTGTGATTGTTTACGTCGTCCCAACGCCTCACGTGGGGTCTCCACTCCCCCCCCCCAGGGAGACGCGAGCCGCTCCGACTCGGACGACGACGTGGGCGGCTCGGCGATCGACGAGGAGGGGGACCCAGCCAAAGGGCTCCCAGGTGCTCCACCCCGCACTGCCCCAGGCCCGCGGCGCCCTCTGCCCTCTCCCTACCCGCCCCCTCCCCACCTTCCACTCGATTCCCAAAATAGGGGGCAGCAGAGGGGCAGGGTTGTGGAACAGCGCACGACTCACATCACCTCCACAGACAATTAACGATGATGTTTTTTTTCAAAATGATTATTACAGTGATGATGATGTTGATGATGATGTATCTTCCTGCAGTGTTGGCCTCAAATGGTCACGCGGACCCCAAAGGGGTGGGGGGTCTGGCCCCCACGGACGCCGCCTCCACGCCCTCTCCCGTGGGGGAGCCGTGGCACCATGTGGGTACCACTGCGCCCCCTCCGCTGTTCCAAGCAGAGTTCTCACACGAGAACCGGTTACCGGTATTATTGAAAACCGTTTACCGAATCCGAAAGCCGGGAACCAGGAACATATTTCCCGTACCACTGATTAGCATGGTTGGCTACGTACTGTGTTGGAAGAAGTTGAACATTAAACATATTCCAGCGGAACATTTTACTATTTTTATTTTATCAGGCAAGGCCCATTGAGCTATACAGCTCTTTTTAGAAGCGGCCTAGCCACAAATGGTAGCCCGACGAAGTGGCTTATCACATGGAAATATATAGCAGCCAAATACTCTAAACGCATGATTCTAAATGTGGATGGGAAAAAAAGGACCCAGAGAAAAATCCACGCGACCATGGGGAGAGACGTGCAAACTCCAAATATACAGCAGGCGTCGGGGTCGAAACCACGACCTCCTGCATACCAAACGAGGTATTTAACATCACGAGGTATTTAACAGCGCCCTATGAGTAACGAATGCACCAATTGGCTCACGGTGACGTACAAATCGCACGGTGGCAGGCCTAAATTACTGCGTGGTTAATTTCCCCTTGTGTCTCAAGTTAAGGTTCAAGTCTATTTTGTGGCAAGAGGTAAGAATTCTAGAGACCAGGATGATGCTCATTTTGCAAGCGTTACCTGGGTCACCAAAATGACAAAAGGTAAACAAAATAAAACAGCACAGCACTGAAGCAAAAATAATTCTGAGCAAAAACAACCAAATAAGAATCTGTTAAAATGTGCAACCCTGGAATTGCTTGCTCCATGCCTCTCCCTGGCTCTCCATGCCCCTCTCTGGCACTCTGTAACTTTCTGCGCTCTCCCTAACTCTTCCTACCTCTCCCCCCTGCCTCTCTCCTTCACGGCGGTGAGCAGGTCGTCCTCGACGCTTCCGCGTGCATTGTCGGCGAAGGAATCTCGGGGGGCCCCGGGGTTCTTGTGGGGGCGGCTGTCCTCGTCGCAGGCCCGGGGCCCCGAGCAGCCCGCAGGTCGAGTGGGTCGCGAGGAGGGGCCGGGTCCCCCCGCCGCCAGGGGGAGCGCCGCTCGCTGCTCTCGCCGGACGACGGAGACGACCACGAGTTCATCGACGCGCCAGGAACGGCGAGCGGCAGGGACGAGGGCGCGGGGGCGAAGGAAGGGGCGAGGGAGGGAGCGAGGGAGGGGACGAGGGAGGGGGCGAGGGAGGGGGCGAGGGAGGAGGCACGGCCGCCTCCCTCGCCCCCTCCCCCGCCCACGCTGCTGCTGCCCTTGGCCTCGCCCCCCGCGGTGCCCGGATCGGCGCCCCACGACCTCGCGGCGGTGCGCGTGGCCCTGCACCGGCCCGCACTGCCGCTGCCCCTGCTCATGCCCGTGGCGCTGCACGTGTCTCTGCCCGACTGCAATGGGAAGACACCCCCCTATGGCTCGGCCAAACATGCGCCGCCAGACCCACTGGATGATATTGACGATGTGAGCCTCATCGGAATCTGCAGCAGAATCATCATCAATCTCGTATTCCCCCGAGTGAAACTATATTCTCTGCCACGTCTACCACATGAGTGTGAACTGTGTGTGCCGTGCGTGTTGTGCTGTTTGTGATACCTGGCAAATTACTCCGACCTCCTTGGCGGTTGCCAGTCGGTAACCTCTATGATGTATTGTGCGCAATATCATTGGAGGGAAGGATGATGCTAATTAGCTGTTACCCTCATGGGATGCTAGCAGGCGCTGTGGTGGCCAACGGGGGCTCCGGATGGGTATGCGGCACTGCTAACCCCGCTACATTAAATTAAACTACAAAAAAAGAAAACTTGGGATGGTGAAAACAACGCTTGTGCCGGAGGCCCCGGGGGGATAGGCGTCTATGACGTCTCCTGGCCAAACCCTATTTGGCAGAGCTCAGGGTTCTTCCAGAAACAGCAGGAAACCACTGCGCATGGCCACATGGGGTGTTTGAATACTCACTGTGGATGAGAGGCTGCCATTCTTCTGTCGGGATCTCGACTGGTACCACATAGACCTCCGTGGAATACAGAAGGTCTAGCGGGCCGATTCTGGTTCCAGTCACTACGAAGGGTGGACACTCCTCCACTCGAGGCAGGAAACAACAGGGAGTTTGCTCTTTTGAACAAAATGTGGAGGCGAGGTGTGGGAATCTGTGAGTTCCATGCTACTGTTAGTTTGCCCCATTAACGGGAGGTGAGGAATGGTGATGTGGTTTCCACCTCCACCGACGATGAATATATCCGTAGAAGAACGCAGACAAGGTTAGTGAGTCAGGTGACTTCTATAACCTCCTGTCCTAGATGCTGGCTAAAGTGGCCCCTCAGGATTATGAAAGCGATGATGTGTATGCTGATGGTGTGTATGCTGATGGTGTGTATGCTGATGGTGTGTATGATGTGCGTGTCCTCAGCGCTGGTGGTTTCGGCTGGGCCGCCGCCTCCAGCGCTACCGGCCGCGCTGCTGCGTGGTGCGCGCGGATTGGTCGCTCTACGTGTTCCACCCGCACAATCGGTAGAGGGCTGCACCGCACTCGCACAGACACGCAGACAAAGATCCCCGGGGTACCCTATACATACCCACACACCGACAGTCACACACACACAGCCTGTGGTCGGGAACACACAGACACATTCACACACATCCACCCCCCTGCGCTGCCTCCCCCCACCCCCCGCGGAGTGCAGGTTCCGCTGGGTGTGCCGCAAGATAATCGCGCACAAGGTGTTTGACCACGTGGTGCTGCTATTCATCTTCCTCAACTGCATCACCATCGCGCTGGAGCGGCCCGATATCCCCAGCTACAGCGCCGTGAGCCTCCCACTCCCTTCCTGTTGCCCCCAACCCATGCTCCGAGCCCCCCGGTGTGCGCTCACAATCACCCCCCCCCCCCCGCTGCCGTGGTGCGCAGGAGCGCGTCTTCCTCACTGTCTCCAACTACATCTTCACCGCCGCCTTCGTCACCGAGATGGCTATTAAGGTACGGCGGCATCGCTCCTCAGGGACATGGTTTCCAGAGCTCAGCCCCGGATAGCTATGGCTGAAATGAAGCCTCTCTACAAGCCCGCACGCATGCACACACTCACAAACTTACGCTCAAGCATCCACATAAGTAAATCCGTTACAACTTTGAAAGTGCTGTTTGTTGCTGACTGCTAGACGTTTTGGGGCTTTGGGCTTGTGTTTAATACCTGTGTCAAAACAAAATCGTCCGTCTCATCGAGAGCCTAGTCGGTGAGCCTGCGCCCGCTCGGCACAGCCGCCACGCACAGCAGCAGCGTTAGCTCGGTGATTCCTTGGGGTCACGGCCGGGGTGACCGGAGCCTCTGGCCCGCTACTCCCCTGCCTCCACCCTGGCCCCGCCTGCTCCGGTGCGCAGGTGACAGCGCTGGGCCTGGCGCTGGGGGATGGCGCGTACCTGCGCAGCTCGTGGAACCTGCTGGACGGGCTCCTGGTCCTCGTCTCCGCCGTGGACATTGTCGTGTCCCTCGCCTCGTCCGGAGGCGCGCGCATCCTGGGTATCCTGCGCGTGCTCCGGCTCTTGCGCACCCTGCGGCCCCTGCGGTGAGGGGGAAGCGGTCGGGGGAGGGGGTTAGTGACCCACGTGGTCAGTCACACAATGCCTTAGCAGGCATTGCACCTCCTTCCTGTCCCTCCACATGCAACAACTAAACCACACATCCCTTCAGCCACTCGGCTGGTTTAATACAATAAAGGTTCTGGACCGGCTTCAAAATTCGGTGTCTCATCAGCAAAGTCAGACTGACTGAATCCAATGCTAGTGGCATCACGCTGGAGCCCCTCTGGTCCGGTATGTATGTTGAACTTCTTTCGCATTGTACATAGCCAACCTTGATAATCGGTGCCCCCCCCCCCCCACCTCCTCCAGAGTGATCAGCCGCGCGCCGGGCCTGAAGCTCGTGGTGGAGACGCTGATCACGTCATTGAAGCCGATTGGGAACATCGTCCTCATCTGCTGCGCCTTTTTCATCATCTTCGGCATCCTGGGGGTACAGGTGCCGAAAGCCCCCACCTCCACCTTACCCCCAACTTCTCACCCGTCATCGCCACCACCACCTTCCTCTGCTCGCTGAAGAGCAAGAACTAGAGGGAATCTGGCTTGCTCTTCCTCCACACGTCCATGTTGAGGGGACGCGTTGGAAGACTTTACCCCTTCTTCATAGCACGTGGCTTGTACTCTGAGGAAGGGCCATTACTGGTCCTTCCTCGTGGGGCCGCGGCGTTCGTGGCAAGCGAGCGGGTGGGTGGAGCGTTGTGGCATCGTTCATGCGGAGTGCGGTGCAGCGAAAATCGATCGTCACCCCTCGTCCCCCCATGTCCCCCGCACCCCGCAGCTCTTCAAGGGGAAGTTCTATTACTGCGAGGGGACGGACACCCGGAACATCACGAGCCGTGCTGACTGCGCGCGTGCGCACTACCGTTGGGTGCGCCGCAAGTACAACTTTGACAACCTGGGGCAGGTGAGGCCCCCCTCCATCCTCCCGCAGATCCCTCCCCCTTGTTCTCTCTATCTCCTACCTCACTCCCTCATCCCTCTCCATTCTGTCCTCCTCCCTACTCTCGAGCCTTCCCCTGACACCCCCCCCCCCCAAACCTAAGGTTGTCACTTACCCACTCACTCATTAATTCGTCGTCCAAAAATCACTTAGTAACTCACCCACTTGCCCACCCACTCACCCAGCCACAAAGGTTACTGCCGTGTTTGACCAAGAATCGACGTCTACTGTATTCGAACGGCAAGGATTGATTGGTACCGAGATCTGGTGCTGGTGACTGCGCGGTGGTGCCAAGAGGCTTCGGCCGAATGTCTAGACCCGTGTCCGGGCTCGCTGTGCATGGAAGAGGTGGCGACCCCCCCCCCCCTCCCCTCAGACCTCGCCCGTGACCTGTGGGATGCGTGCCCGTGGTTGTGTCTGATGTCTCGTGTCCCGCAGGCGCTCATGTCCCTTTTCGTGCTGGCCTCTAAGGATGGCTGGGTGAACATCATGTACGATGGCCTGGATGCCGTGGGTGAGGATTTGCAGGTGAGGAACCCGGAACAAACCCGTGGCTCAGGGCTGGGGGTTCAGTGGTGTTTGTTGTTTGAACTCGGGGAGAGGGCTGGTGGTGATGGGGGACGGAGGGGGGAGATGCCGGTACACGGCCTCCCTCATGCTGCTGCGGATTTGCTTCTATGTAGCGCATCAAGCGCATAAGCGCTTGATGTTTGTTGCGGAGGTCCGCAGTTTGATTTCGGCGGGTCGCCCTGGTAAATACTGCAGGTGTCATTATCATCGCTCATAGAAACCAGTTACAGCATTAAGCACAGTGACATCACTCACACACAACATCGTCACACGCGCACTGTATGCATCATCACACTGGGATGCGTGGCATTAACCCTGCATCGTCTGTTTCACTCACAGTGGACGTTAAAGATCCCGGGACATCATCAGAAGAGGAGTAGGTCATATTTTTCCTCGGTGTAATGCTCCAAATTTGAGAAATTAGACCGCAAATTACTCGCTTGGGAAACGCATTGCAAGCGTCGCCCCTAACTGCGAATAATCCCCTACATGAGCAGTACATCTTGTGGTGTTTTAACATCGGAACTCAGAAGACAGTGCACCTAGCCTGGCGTCGCTACCCTCACTTGTTGTTGTTAAATGGTGTTGCTGCTGCTGGTAGCGAGTTGTACTGCTGGGGGTTGTGCCCGCGTGCAGCCCGTGCGGAACCACAACCCGTGGATGCTGCTCTACTTCATCTCCTTCTTGCTGCTCGTCAGCTTCTTCGTGCTCAACATGTTCGTGGGCGTTGTGGTGGAGAACTTCCACAAGTGCCGGCAGCACCAGGAGGCTGAGGAGACGCGGCTCCGCGAGGAGAAGCGACTCCGCCGGGCAGAGAAACGGAGGCGCAGTAAGAGGGGTGGGGGGGGGAGGGTGCATGGGGACTTGGGATAGGGAAGGGGGGGAGGTGGGGGGAGAGCCGGGGCGGATACATGGGGGAGCTGCGACAGGGTCGGAAGAGGGACTGGGAGACTCGAGGCACGGACGGCGTGCAGGGTGCGGGGCCTGGTTCACGCGAGAGAGGCGTGAGGGCGAGTGAGGAGGCGCTCGGCTCGACTCGGGCTCCGTCGCGGTCCGGCGTGAATGCGCAGCTGGGCCGCGGGTCTCCGCGCGCCCCAATCACCGTCCCCGCGCGGCGCATGGTCGCTCCACCCGCATGGCACCGCTCGCTGCTGAGACCCATCCACATCGCCCCACGCATCCCCACGCTGCCATTCACGACGCACGCTCCGCTCTGCTCTGCACGCGCGTGGGGGTGGGGGCGGTGGTAGCCGCGTGTGAGGGAGAGGGGTAGCGTGGGGGGGCGAATCCCCCGGCCCGGCTCAGTATTGCACCCCACGCCTCGCGTCCTCCGGATGCCGCCGCGTCGCGGGGCCGTGAGCGGCGATAGCCGTGGATTCTCTCTGCGACCTCTATCCTCGCTCGATCACGCCTGGGGGTCGCTGCGGTCACGGCTTGGGGTCGCCGGCCTGGCCGCCCGGGGGCCTGCGTGACCAATCCGGAACCGCACGCCAATCTGAACCCGACCAAGTGCCCTCCTAGTTCAAGCTCTGGCTTCGTGAGTGTGGAACCGATTGATTTCGGTTCCCGCTGCGACCCCACCTCCACGCCCCCTCCTCCCTCGGCCATTCGTCTCTCCGCGCCGCTGCGAGCGCACGGCTTAATTTGGTGGTGGGTGGGTTCATTGGGGGCGCGCCAATGGGAGGCAGCAGCGTGTTGGGGGAGCAGCATGCTTGTACCGCACGCACAGCGGGGAGACGCCGAGAGCGGCGGTGTGCGCGGCGCCTAACCCCTGGCTGCTCTCCGTGTCTGCCTCCAGACGGAAAGGACGCGGGGGGGAGACGCGCTAAGCAGGGCGCTCACAAAAACCCTAAAGGTATCATGCATACCACCACGGGCGCCACTCCACCCCACAGCGATCCCGCGGCCCCCTTCCCCCGGCAAGGGAAGGCCACCCCCCTCCCGACCTCCCTGTACCCCAACCCTTACGCCCCCTCTCCTGGCCTCACGGCGATAGTTCTTCTGGTGTCCATAGGTTCGAGCCTAGTCACGGAGCTATCACGTATGCCAATCTCTTTCGTCTGCTGTGCGACACTGAACAAAGGCCCACAACTTACAATCAGCCAGTAACAAACAGCGCTGTTATCACAATTATAATACGTCCCAGAGTGTGCGTGGGGAGGGGCAGGGGAAGAGACGATGGAAGGAAGGAATTCAAAAGTGCAGCGGTGGGGGGGGGGGGGGGGGGAGAAGCATGGAGAGAAGTGTTGTAACCTGCAGATGGTGGCCCGAGGCGACGATGGGGGGCTCGGGGGGCCGTGAGAGGAATCGAGTGACTTTCGCTTCATTCTGCCCCTGGGATGACGACGCCTGAGGCCAGCGCCTGTGGGACGCGGAGTGGAATGCGCTCAGGCGGAGCTTAGTGGAATCAGGATGGACCACGTGGGCCCTGTCATGCGGTCATAGCAGGACCAGGAGGACATGGCGGGGTCAATGTGAAGTCAACTCGCGGGTTCTCGCAGCCACTGTGATGATTCATAATTGATTTTTTAGTTAGGCCGTGTAACGATCGGGCCATGTCGGTGTCATGGAGAATGACGTCAGTTATTGTTATCCTGAAAGCCATCTCTTTTATCAACGCTTAGATGGCCCCTTGAGTGTTTATTTTACGCCCTGTCATAATGCAGTGGTAATTCATGTTGCGTGTGACAGCATCCGAGTGCTTAGCATTGTGTTCGATGTAATAGCAGCTCACGATCCCTGAAAGTTGCACCGAAGCTCTGCCTAGTTGTGCGTGAGGTAGAGGCGCTGTCCATGGTGCTGATCCCTCTCAGAGGTTCAGAATCAGAATCATAATATTTATTTATACTGGAGGAATCCGATGAGCTATAAATCTCTTTTTCACAGATATCTAGTAGGGGTGCGTAAGAACGTTACAACAACAAACAGTAGAAAATATGATAGTAATGCAAATTACAAAAAAGTAAACAAATCACCCAAACACATATAAATACAACTAAACCATCCCCATCCTGATTTAAAGCGTTCGTGACTGCAGGGATTCATGTTCTTTGTTATTTCGGTAAAGTCACGTAAAAGGGAAACAATACATTAATACAAATATAAAACAATAAAATTCTCACGACGTTTGGACTGCAACACAAGCAATCATCACCTGATGATGATTGCTTGTGTTGCAGTCGAAACGTCGTGAAAATTGTATTGTTTTATATTTTTATTATTTTATTGTTTCCCTTCTACGTGACTTTACCGAAAAAACCAAGAATATGCATCCCCATCCTACCAGGCAAAGCCCACTGAGGTATTAACTTATTTTTCAGAAGCGATCTGGCCACAAATGATAGGTTGAAGAGCTGTCCATGGTGCTGATCCCTTTGAGAGGTTGAGAAAATGTCCATGGTGCTAATCCTTCTGAGAAATTGAGGCGCTGTCCATGGTGCTGATCTTTCTGAGAGTTAGAGGCATTGTCCATGGTGCTGATCTCTCTGAGAGGTAGAGGCGCTGTCCAAGGTGCTGATCTCTCTGAGAGGTTGAGGTGCTGTCCATGGTGCTGATCTCTTTGAGAGGTTGAGGCACTGTCCATAGTGCTGATCTCTTTGAGAGGTAGAGACGCTGTCCATGGCACTGATTTATCTGAGAAATAAAGGCACAGTTCATGGTGCTGATGTCCGTGAGATATAGAGGCGCTGTCCATGATACTGACCTTTATTATAGATAGAGGTGCTGTCCGTGGTGCTGATCTTATGAAAGTTAATGCAATCTATAAGCAGCAATTTCAAATTATTATTCACACTAACTATGATATTCAAGTTGAGTTCGACTAGGTGAGAAATCAAGAGACCTATAGACTCTCAATAGAATGATGTTGCACGGGTACTATGTGTTGTATTTATTGCGCATTATAATACTTTCGGCTCTTTGGTCATGTGTTTCATTTTTTTTAAACAGTTTATGAGCACAGGCATGAAGGCCGATAGCGTCAACTGCCAGCGACAAACAGTACCATCCAGGTTGTAATATCGAATATGTAACACTTGGGAACAGAGACAGTGGGAGGGAGCAGTGCCAGAGAAGAACCAGAAAGAGAAGCGAGGTGACCTGGAGTTTGGTGATCAGTGGGTGTGATTTGACTTGCAGTGTGGTGAGTGTGGTGAGTGAGTAGTGTGTTGTCGTTTGAGAGTGTGAGCAAAGTAAATTCTTCGAGCCACGTTTTACGTGGCATGCGGAGCCACTGTGTCGACATATTCCGTTGATTAGCGGTGGTCCATTCTTTCTGGGTAGAGTGAGTATGGAATGAGTGGTAGTGACTGTGGGCGAGTTCAGTCAGGTCCACTCCCATGCAGCCACCCCCCCCCCGCCCCCTTACCGTGTGAATAATTAAAACGTTGGGTCGACGGGACCTTCGCCGTGGGACGTGTCTCGAATCTCAATGAAACCTGCGGGGCTCGGGCCAATTACGCCAGGGTAAATATAATTTGCTAGGCGATCAGTTTCTATGAAATGTCATCATCGCATCTCATTTATTTTTTATTTGTCATCGTACGTTGGCATTCCCATGGCGACCCTCCTGAGTGTCCCCCTCCGTGAGGTACCTGACCGACGCGTGAACGCAGCGCGGCGTCCGTGGGGAGATGGAAGTGGGGGAGCGTTGGGTCGGAGGGAGCGGCCGGGGGGTGCGAACCCGACTTTGACAGCTCTCGTCTGTCCACCTCGGTGTGCGTCGTACATCGGCGTGTACACGTGCGTGTGGCCGTGTGCATTTGTGTGCGTCTGGATGTCTGCTTATCGCTGTATGTACATTGTGGCGAGTGTGGGCAGCAGTAGCACAGCGGTTAGCGCAATGTGTGAATCCAGTTACCCAAGTTACGATTCCCGCTCATGGCCAACATCGGTGGTAAATATCTGAACCGGTCCTGGGCCTCCCCTTGGTCGAATCAACCTTAAATTAGTACCTGGTACGGTGTGTAAACATCGCCACGAAGGAGACAAAGGTAGCCAGGCGTGGAACTGGTTACACAACCCCTTCGTGTGCCGTGCTGGCCTTAATAGATGCTACTCACGAACAGCACTTTCCCAACAGTCTGTTAAAGGCTACACGGAGACCTTTGTCAGTGTGCGTGTGTTCCCTGCGTGTGCGCGCGTGCAGAAGCGCAGCAGAAGCCGTACTACGCTGACTACTCTCGCACTCGCATGCTCGTCCACGGCGCGTGCACGTCCAGCTACCTGGACCTCTTCATCACCGTGGTCATCGGCCTCAACGTCGTCACCATGGCCATGGAGCACTACGACCAGCCCAGGGTGTGGCCCACAGTCGTGGTGGGGGGGGGGGAGGGTGGCAGTAACGCTCAGGGGGGGACAGACTAAAACGAATGGCAGGATAAAGAATGCCCAGACTAATTATACGTATTAAGCCTACGTGTTAAACAGACTAATTCTATTTCCCATTAACCCATGGCCATTCCTTGTTCACATGTTAGCCTATGGGGTCAGGGCCATGGGAAGAGTGGGGGTGGTGACACTCGCTCGTGTCTCGCAGTCGCTGGAGGAGGCGCTCAAGTACTGCAACTATTTCTTCACAACGGTGTTCGTGCTGGAGGCGGCCTTCAAGCTTGTGGCGTTTGGCATACGAAGATACTTCAAGGACAGGTGCAGGGCCCACTCTCCTCCCTCCCTCACCATGCCTCCTGCCATTCACCACGGACCTCATAATTTCCACCATTTTTCAATATTTAGAGGAATATATTTCAAATTTTAGTGGTAGGATGGTGCAGTGGTAACACTCGTGCTGCCTCACAAAAAGAGCCTGGGATTGATTTCTGACTCGGGTGCTTTTCTGTTTGGAGTTTTGTATGTTCTCCATCTGCTCTGCATGTATTTCCTCGTCGTTCCCCAGTTTTCCGCCACAGCTAAACACACACATACACAAAATGTCACTGCTATTGGCCAAAGTATCCCAATCATAACAAAATTACCTGCAAATTACTCAGTTGGGATCACACACACAGCTGTAGCATCGTCCTCTACCGTGAAAACTTGATAGGACCCTACTGAAAAAATAGTCTTGGGACTCGGTGACGCTTTCGTGAGTAATCAAGCGTGGTGATAATAACTATAGTCGTAAAATAAATAACGCGTTCTTTGACCGCATGTTGCGAATTGTGTATTAACGGCATGTGTGTAGTGTGTGGTGAGTGTATATGTATGTGATGTATGTGTCGGTGTGGCCGTGCGTGGGGAGCGACAGTACAGCGGTTAGCGTGCTGCGCTACGAACCTGGCGACCCGGTTTCGATTGAGGCTCACGGTCAACACCAGTGACGATTATCTGAACCGGTCTTGAGCCTCCCCTAGGTTGACTCAGCATAAAATGAGTACCTGGTGCGGTGTGTAAACATCGCCACGAGGGAGACAAAGGAGGTCAGGCGGGGTTTCTGGCCACTCTACCCCTCGTGTACCGTGTCGGCCTTCATAGGAGCTCGCTAACAGCACTTGCTCCTACCGTCTGTGAAGGCGATATGAGTGATCTTTGTCTTTTGGCCGTGTGCGTGTAGGTGGAACCAGCTGGATCTCGGCATCGTGCTGCTGTCCATCATGGGCATCACGCTGGAGGAGATCGAGATGAATGCATCGCTGCCCATCAACCCGACCATCATGCGCATCATGCGCGTACTGCGCATCGCCCGCGGTACCCACCGCCCCCCATCCGGGGTGATGCGCGTCCGGGTCACCGGGGTAACCGGGATAACCGGTGTCCAGGGTAACCGGTGTGTGGGGTAACCAGGGTAACTGGTACTATGGTAACAAGGGCGTGGGGTAACCAGGATAACTAGTACCAAAGTAACCAGGGTGTGAGGTAGCTGCTGGGCCGAGGCTACCTTGAGCCAGTCGCACGGCACGCCTCCGTGCCTGCAAAGCGACCTCAGCCCTGCGAGTCTCCGCACACCCGTACCTCCGTGTCCCTGTCACCACGTGTTTCTATGTTCCTATGTCCCCGTACCCCTGCGTCCCCGTGACCCCGTGACCCCATGTCCCCGTGACTCCGTGCCTCTATGTCCCCTTACCCCTGTGTCCCCGTGACCCTGTGTCCCCGTGACCCCGTACCCCTGTGTCCCCGTGACCCTGTGCCTCTATGTCCCCGTGACCCTATGTCCCCGTGATCCCGTACCCCTGTGTCCCCGTGTCCCTGTACTCCTGTGCCCCCGTGACCTTATGTCCCCGTGACCCCGTACCCCTGTGTCCCCGTGTCCCTGTACCCCTGTGCCCCCGTGACCCTGTGCCTCTATGTCCCCGTGTCCCCAGTGCTCAAACTCTTGAAGACAGCCACAGGGATGCGCTCCCTCATCGACACCGTGGTGCAGGCGCTGCCACAGGTGCGAGACGAGCTCCGGCTCCGGCCATCGCTCTACACTCAAAGATCACCATCATTCTGCTTGTTAACCCAAGAAAGCGTCACCGACTCTCAAGATACCTCTTCAGGAGGGTCCTGTCATGTTTTCGAAGGAGTAAGCGATGTTGCTGTTGAGTGAGGTCTCGATTGAATAATTTGCAGGTAATTGTTCAACATTGAGGTGTGGTTTGGCCAATCCCAGTTACATTATTATTTTTCTATGGCAGGAAACCGGAGAATCCGGAAGAAACACTTGCAGAAGAGGGGGGGAAATAGAAACTCTTCACATTCGTAAAGGCGCCCGAGTCAGGCATCGAATCCAGGCCCTTGTTGTTTCGAGGCGCGAGTGATGGGATGTGTAAAGATTAGTGAATGGCATTTTCTACGCGGAAGAACATGGCGAGCATGGGGATGCGGCTGTGAGTGGTCCGTGATGTCGCGACCTCTCTCGTGGCCCGAGCCGGGATCGCGCGGAGCGCGTGGAGCCGCGGGGCTTCCTTTCCACGCGAGGTAATTCGACGTTCCTGTGACGAAGCCAGTATAGGAGGCTGTGCTTGTGTGTCCGTGGTGCAGGTGGGGAACCTGGGCCTCCTCTTCCTGTTGCTCTTTTTCATCTACGCGGCCCTGGGGGTAGAGCTGTTCGGCCGCCTGAGTGAGTCACTCTTTGCCCACTCAACTCTGTCACTCACTCCTCTCTTTCACCCTCTCGCTGTCTCATTCACTTCTCTCTCACTTCTCATACACTCCTCATCCCATGTTCACTTGTCGTGATTGCCTTTTGTGACTTGAGGTAATAGTCGCCTGTGGTTGTCCCAGGATTTCTGTCGTTACTTATGGGTGCTTGTGGTTGCCTGTGGTTGCCCACGCAGTCTGTGACGATGAGACCCCCTGCGAGGGCCTTACCCGTCACGCGACCTTCGAAAACTTCGGCATGGCCTTCCTCACGCTGTTCCGCGTGTCCACGGGCGACAACTGGAATGGCATCATGAAGGTAGCGCCTGGGGGTGTCCATCGCGCACTGTGTTTCCAGGAGAGCCTCACCGTGTTTCAAGACTCTTTCTCGGGAGGGTCCTGCCAAGTTTCCAGCATTGGGATGTGGATTTGGCTCATTTCAGTTCCATTTCGGAGGAAACCGGGGAACAAGGAAAAAACACCTGCAGAACAGGGGGAGAACGCACAACTCCACTCACACGCTCTCTGCAGAACAGGGGGATAACATGCAAACACCACAGAGAAGGGGGAATCGAACTCAGGTACTTCTTCCTGTGAGGTACAGGTGTTACTACTGCACTACCCCATTGCCACCCGTCCAGGATTTTGCGGCTGATGTTCTCTGGTGGCAGGGATTGATTTCTACCGACATCTGGTGCTGGTGAATGTGTTCAAATACATCGGAGGAGACTGCACAGTGGTGCCGGGAGGCCGAGGCCGACTGAGACACGTATCCGGGCTCACTCTGCGGAAAAAAGTAGCGACACGATGGTGGCCTCTGGATGTTCACACACAAAGTTCCCCCATATAACCTAAACAGGCTGTTGGGGCAAGTGCTGTTAGCGAGCTTCGGCACAGCACAAAAAGGGATCATCTTTGTCTCTTCAGTGCTGATATTTACGTACACCGAACCAGTTACTCAATAAGGGCTGAGACGATCTAGGGGATGCCCAGGAACAGTTATGTTATCACTCATCACTGATGTTGGCTGTGACCAGGAATCGAACTAAGGTAGAAGCGTCCATAGGGTAGTGCGCTAACCACTGCACCACTCCTCCATTACTCCCAATAAATAGGCGGAGAAATGGAGGGGAGAGTGTGAAGAGAGCAAACAGAGCCACAGAGGGAGACACTGAGACACACAGACGGACAGAGAGAGACACACACACAGACACACGGAGACACAGACACACAGAGAAATACGTAGACACGAAGACAGAGACACGTGGAGATACAGAAACAGGCGGAGGCACAGAGACGCACACGGTGAGACAAGAGGAGCCCCGGTTCAGAGAGTCGTGGGGAAGCGCGACGGCAGCAGCAGAGGGGGTCGCGGTGTTGCTGTGTCCCTGGAGAGAGTGCGGTCGAGCACGTCTCTGTGTGTGTGGAGGTTGCGGTCGAGCACGTCTCTGTGTGTGTGGAGGGTGCATTCGAGCACGTCTCTGTGTGTGTGAAGGGTGCATTCGAGCATGTCTCTGTGTGTGTGGAGGGTGCGGTCGAGCACGTCTCTGTGTGTGTGGAGGGTGCGGTCGAGCACGTCTCTGTGTGTGTGGAGGGTGCATTCGAGCACGTCTCTGTGTGTGTGAAGGGTGCATTCGAGCATGTCTCTGTGTATGTGGAGGGTGCGGTCGAGCACGTCTCTGTGTGTGTGGAGGGTGTGGTCGAGCACGTCTCTGTGTGTGTGGAGGGTGCGGTCGAGCACGTCTCTGTGTGTGTGGAGGGTGCGGTCGAGCACGTCTCTGTGTGTGTGGAGGGTGCGGTCAAGCATGTCTCTGTGTGTGTGGAGGGTGCGGTCGAGCACGTCTCTGTGTGTGTGGAGGGTGCGGTCGAGCACGTCTCTGTGTGTGTGGAGGGTGCGGTCGAGCACGTCTCTGTGTGTGTGGAGGGTGCGGCCGAGCACGTCTCTGTGTGTGTGGAGGGTGCGGTCAAGCATGTCTCTGTGTGTGTGGAGGGTGCATTCGAGCATGTCTCTGTGTATGTGGAGGGTGCGGTCGAGCACGTCTCTGTGTGTGTGGAGGGTGCGGTCGAGCACGTCTCTGTGTGTGTGGAGGGTGCGGTCGAGCACGTCTCTGTGTGTGTGGAGGGTGCGGTCGAGCACGTCTCTGTGTGTGTCGAGGGTTCGGTCGAGCACGTCTCTGCGTGTGGGGAGCGCAGGACACGCTGCGAGAGTGCGGGGCCGGGCTCCCCGCGGAACCCCCGGCCTGCGTGGCGCACCTCCCGCTCATCTCGCCCGTCTACTTCGTGACGTTCGTGCTCACAGCGCAGTTCGTGCTCGTGAACGTGGTGGTGGCCGTGCTCATGAAGCACCTGGAGGAGAGCAACCAGGCACGGTCCGCCACAACTACCACCATCACCACAACAATCACCACAATTGCCATGGGAAAAACCACCACAACCACCGCAATAAATAACCACAACCACCACAACAAAGAGCGGAAGAATAGCGTAAAACAATATGCAACATCGAACAAAACCTGCAACAATCACTACAACTTGCTGCACCCACAAGTGCCACCACAACGACCCACAAGAGCCACGGCCAGCTGCCACCATCAATAATTACATCAAGCAGCAGACGAACATCAACAAACCCACGTTAACCACACCACCCACACCACCGACACCACCACACCAACAACAGCTCTCATTCGCCACGAAGTTCCGGCGACGTCACCACGGTGCTTGTGCCAGGCTAGGTGCACGTTGAGGCCCCGCGAGGTGTGGATGGCTCGCTGGCAGGAGGTCACGGGACAGGCCCAGGTGCCATGGGTTGACTGACACCGCCCCACTCTCACCCACGCTCTGTGTGGATCCAGGACGATGACGATGACGATGTGGATGGAGACACCACGGAGGGCGAGGGGGGGCCCCTAGGGCCCGAAAGGGATCTTCGCAGGGAGACCCCCTCCCCGACACCGCGGGGAACAGGAAGTCGGTCCCCCCGGCGGCACAGCGCTGACACCGGGTGGTCCCAGTGGGGGCAGGGGGCCGAGGGGGAACGCGTCTCCCTGGGCGGGTCCCCCTCGTGGCGGCCGGGGACCCGGGTGAGTGCAGGAGGTGGTCATCACGGCGACGTGGACTGTGCGTTTGTCACGGTGATGGTGCGGCTGTGCAGTAGTCATGGTGACCGTGCGGCTGTGTGTAGCTGCGGTTCTCGTCGGACCTGTCGCTGGTGATGGTGGACGCAGTGGATGCTGAGTTGCTGCTCATGGACAACCTGTCGGGCTCCGTGTGCCGCTCCTACGGCCTGAGCTCCACCCCGGGACCGCCCGGCTCCCCGAAGGTTTCACGCACAGGGGCACGGGGACTACAGAGACATCGATGATGATGGTGGTGAGGGTGGTGATGTTGGTAAGGGTAGTAATGATGAGGGTGATGAAGGTGATGGTGGTGGTGATTGTGCTGAGAGTGGTGATGGTGAGGGTAAAGATGATGAGGGTCAAGTTGGTGATGATGTTGAGGATCATGGTGGTAAGGTTGATGTTGGTGAGGGTGATGGTGGCGAGTGTGCGCGTGCCCCGGGGCCTCGTGCAGATCCCATTGGCCGAGATGGAGGCGCTGTCCGTGACCTCCGACCTGTCGGAGCGATCATGGTCCCCGGAGCCGCAGCGCCGCTGCTCGGCGCCGTCCCCTCCATCGTCATCGTCGTCGCCCTCCGCGTCCTCGCCGCCCCCTGCCCCCTCGCCCCTCCTTCCCCGGGGGCCCACACGGCGGCCTCTCAACGTAAGTATCGGCAGCCCCGGGCCCCGCGGTCGCCGTGTGTGTTGCGTTCTGCTCCGGTCACAAGAATCGGTTTGCGCTTCGCTACTGGTAAGTCGTGAGCAACGAGCATACCGCTGGGCTCGCGCTGATATACAAACCGCACGGCGGGCCATGTCACTGAATGGTTTATTTGTCATCGTTTCTCAGTCAAAAGGTAACGGTGCAGCCCTGCAAGTGTCCACACAACGCCACTGTTGGCAAAAGGACCTCATGGCGGTATTTGGTCTTCTCTCCTCTACTCTTCCACACTGACCAGACGTGTCCCTTGAACCCCCCGTGTCCCCTACACACCCTGAAGGCTGGAGAGACCCCGGTGGCACGGGGAGGTGACTTGGTCCCTGTGGCCAACGCTGAGCAAGGGGAGAGTCGGCCCGCGAGTCACGGCGACTCACATCGGCGAACGCGACACGGGGCCCCTGGGGCCCCCTGCCCAGCCACAGCTACAGGCCAGTGAAGTCATCCACGTCTCAGCGGTGTCACACATAATAATAATGATGGTGATGTTGAGTCTAACGGCGTCATTGCATGTAAACTGCGCCTCAAGACGCCGCCGAAGAGCTTGTAACGCTCTACGGTGGCGTCCGCACAGAGGCGCGAGAGGAACCCAGAGAAGGGCGCAAGGGCAGCCAGAACCCGCGCCAATAATTGCCCAAGCTCTGTGTTTCTATATCGGGATGTTTGACCAACGCCATTAACTCCATTAACTCAACTCCATTAACTCAACTCCATTAACTCCATTAACTCTGAGTGTTTCTACACGTGGGAGTCAACCGCAGTGCTTGGAGACGGGGGGGGGGAGTAACAATCTACGTACAAATGGGATTGAGCTTCCTTTATGGAACAGCAGAGGGCGACCTCCACCCACGAATTCGGCAGGGAGTCTCACGCGCGCGTGTGCGTGATACACCAACCCTCGCTCACAGCAATCTGAGTGATACGTCGCCGCACGTTCAGTCGTGAGAAGTCTCAAGACACCGGTCAGGAGACGGAGGAGCTTTACCAGACAGAATCTGGCACGTGTTTATTACTGTAAACGTAGTGGAGGGTAAACGACGCGAATTTTGGCACTAAACCACCGCGTGACCGAACCCAAAAATATATATAATACCAGTTAGAGGGCATGGTGTGTGTTTAAGCTATGGTACGGAATCGGAAAACCCGGATGAAACACATGCAGAATAGGGGGGCAACTCTACACACAAAGACAAACATCCCTCTCATAGCCTTAACAGACTTGCGGCAAGTGCTATTAGGGGAGCACCTTTGACAATGGCGGGGCCAGGATTTTCAGGTAGGGGGGGCAACCCCTCCATCAATGAAAAATGATAGGCGTTGTAAGTAAGGACTCATCCCTTGCTTTTTGTTCGACGCGTGTGCGGCGATGGCGCAGCCATTAATCGAGGGTCGAATTCGAACCGTGTGTGATCGGCATCGCGCTCGCTGAAGGTGAATGCCTTCAGGGAAGTCGGGTACTGTTTACACAACTGCGCACAATTTTGTGAGTCGCTTATAACTGCTTTGCCGTTACTTATTGCTAATTATGGACTCAGGCTATTGTCCTATCATCCCATAGAGTCCCTGGCACGTAATACTATGCTACACAGTGGCAGTGTGGGTCGCAAAATGCCGATTTATTACTAATAAACCCCAATGATCCGATCGAAATAAGGGATTTCGATCGGATCATTGGGGGGGCACGTGCCACCCCCCCCGGCTCCACCAGTGACCTTTGAAGGTGTCCATAGCACACGTGGACGGTGACTGACACCACCCCTGGACACCTTTGTCTCCCCAGTGCTGATGTTTACACACCGAACGAGGTACTCATTTTAAGCTCAGAATATTTATTAATCCAGAATCTTTATATATCCTGGAGGAATCCGATGAGCTATGAGGCTATTTTTCACAGATGCCCAGTAGGAACGAGTCAGCAAGTTAAAATACTGACCTAGGGGAGGCCCAGAAGCAGTTCAAATATTTGTCACTGATATTCGTCGTGAGTTGAAATAAAACTCAAGTCGACGGGTTCAGAGCACAGTGCACTGACCACTACACGGGTGCTTCCAATACGCACACTAAATCACACTCTGTAGAACAGGGGGAGAACATACAAACTCCACGCAGGTGTTTGCTGCTGTCAGGCACGGGTGTTACCACTGCAGTGATTTTGATATCTGCCCATTCTGTACAGGCCCTCCCACATTTTCTGTGTCTGAGCCAAGCCCGGAGGGGGCGTGCCCCCCACGTCCATCAGAGAGGCCAGACCCCATGGTGACCTGTCGTTCCAGCTTCCACAGACAGGTGTCCACCTCACCACTGAGTCACCCACACTTACTGGTGTCCACCTCACCACCGAGTCACCCACACTCACCGGTGTCCACCACACGTTATTCCCGCGGCAGTGTGGCTGGTCGGTAAAGCTCGCTCGTGACGCGATGCGGCTCACTGCAACAGAGAGGTAAATTTGACGCCAACATCGTTACAGCTTAGTTTTGTTGCATTCGAAAGAATGTGACATTTTTTAATCGGTTTATACCAGTTTTTGACAAGCGGCTGAGCAGAACCGAACCTTCCGAAACAGATTTGACCCAGTTCAACCATCGTAGTGGAACCCCAGGCGGGCCGATCCCCAGCTGTTTGCTGTGCGATTGCATCGTCACTTTGAGGCGGTGACGCGGCGGCTCGATGGGATTGAGGCTCACCGCGCGTTGCTGTTCGAGGTTCGCCGTTAGAAGCCGGCAGCCGCCCTTGGTTATTGCTGCGGTGTGCGTCAGCATAAACTACAACTCGCTGCGTCTGCTTCACTCACAGTGGACGTTTAAGTTCCTGTGACGTCATTCTTATGGAGCTTGCCACTGTGTGCCGGAGTCCTGGTATAAAATTACCAAAAAATATATTATAAAGCAAATTATTAAAATAGGATCATACAGCAACATTGCCTCCTCCTACGACAACTTAGAAAGGCCCTTCTAAAGGCGTCATGAGACTCGGTGAAGTTTCCCTGGGTAAACAATGGGAAAAATATATAAATAATAATACAAATTCATCTATCAATGTTACTCAATGCTTTTTCCGTTCATGATGCTCCTGTCGGTTGATTATTTTGGCTCTTGGACAGCTGACGACCAAGTGTCCTGCCGTCTCCTCGGTTCAACTGAAACTCTCCTAAATTTACAAGGCTTTGTTGTCGCGATGTTATAATTCCACGAGTTTACCCAGGAAAACCTCACCGAGTCTCAAGACTCGTTTTAAGGAAGGTCCGCTGTGTGTGTACTTTAGCTCTGGGAAGAAACCGGAGAACCTCGAGGGAGCCCATGTAGAACAGGGAGAGAACATAAAACTCCACTCGGAAAGCAACAGAGTCGGGAATCGAACCCAGGTTTTGCTGCTGTGAGACAGCAGGAGCGTGGCCACTGCGCTACTGCCCGAGTCTTAACTCTAGCGCTCTTTCTAAGATGGCGCACACCATTCTGTTTACCCATACCTGGCGTTGTAAATGTTTCAACAGCTCCGGTGCGACTCCTAACCCCTGTTCGCCCTCGGCGCCCCCTCCTCCATCCTCTTCACAGGAGGCCGCCGAAACGGGGTCCCAGGAGAACGTGGGGATGAGGTCCCTTTCTTCGTATTTGTGGGGACGCGGGTCACGCCAGCCTACCTCCCGCGACCCCACCGCGCCCCCCTCGCTACCCCCACGCCACTGCTGCCTCCCGCTAAGAGTCCGTGCCGGTCGGGCTGCCGTGGGCCCCACGGGTCCCAGAGGGACGCGGCCAGGTCCAGCGGAGGCTGCAGCTGCTGACATGGAGCCCGGGGAAGAGGAGGATGGAGGCGCGGTTCGTGCCGGCACCAGGGGATCGTACGGACGGCGAGGGGCAGCAGTGGGGGGCAGCGAGGAGAGGGAGCGGCATGGGGGCCCGAGGGCCCGGGGGCATTTGAGATCAGGCGCCACAGAGCAGACAGTGGGGCCGGGGTCAGATCCACCATGCCTGTCGGCACCCAGGCGGCCGAGATGATGAAGATGACAGTGATGGTGACGCTGATGGTAAAGATGATATTTTTTGTGTTTTCTTAAACAGTTGCTGAGCACAGGCCCAACATGTCAAGTGGTCAGCAACAAACAACAATATCAATGTTATAATAAACAAGTTATGGTGAAGATGATGGTGGAATTGATGAAGATGATGGTGCAATGGTAAAATTCATGGTATTTCTTTCGTGGAAAATAATGCTGGTAAAATTATGGTGAAATGTATTTGGCGATGGTTGAAATTATGGTAGATTTGATAGTTAAATAATGGTGAAGTCCATGGCGAAGTCAATCTTAAAGACATGGTGAAGATCTGCCATCCGCAGGTGCTGTGTGCGAGACTCTGGTGCTGCCCTCGATGGGGATCGGACTGCGGGTTGCGATGTGCACGGTGCTCCTCAAAGACGCGCACTGGGAAAGGAGGGGCCAGAGCCCCTTGGCCAACTCACCAACCGCTCACCACAAGTCACCAACTGCTTACCACAACTGAACACTGCCCACCCGCCACGCATGGAACACAGCAGCCGCAACTCCTCTTCCCTTCCTTGTCACAACTTCAACAACAACCACTCAGTCCCCAGGCTCCCCCAGGACGTGTTGCCAGGAGTGTCCGCCCCCTTTTCCGCAGAGCAAGCCCGGGCATCTTTCTCAGTCGGCCTCGGTCTATCAGAACCACTTTGCAGTTCACTGTAATAATAATTTGAACACATTGCCACCACAAGATCTCGGTACAAATTCTTCCCTGTTGGACGAACACAGCTGATGCCGATTCCTCGACTGTCCGGGTCAAACCTGAACGGATGGCGACCCCAGTACCACCCTTTGTACCCCTCAAAACCTGACCTCAGATCCCGTAGCCTTTCTACCCAGGCCACTTGCAGTGCAACCCTCCCCTTCCATAACGATGAGGCAGAGGTCCATTTAAGGGGAGTATGTTTTGTCCACGCAGCCCCGCGGCTTCTTGTGTACATGTGGTTGGTACCCATAGCTTCCCTGTGAAACTGAGCACGCTACACGTGCACGTGGACACGTTGAGTTGCGAGCGCGCGTGAATATACACAAAGTGCGGTTTTGTATGTGTGCTCTCAAGCTGATTTATTGAACAAAGATGCGATGTGTCAGTTTCTCCGAGACACCAACGTTACCACGCGTGTGTGCGTTTATCGGCGGAGTTGCAATGTAGTGAGGGTTGATGAACATCTGTCATGGGATGGCTGCACTGTAATACTCATCTGGCTAAGGAGGCATGGAAGAGGCCTGGTTTTCTGTTCCGTGCCAAAGCATCTCATTTTTAACGATGATGACTACATCGCTACATAGAGCGCAGTTGCTAGAGCTGCAACACAGATGACATTCGTTCCAAGTTTAAATCCTGTTGTCATATATGAGGGGAGCACCCACTTGATATAATTCAGAGGAAATCATCAGTCCGGGTGATTGATGATCCGGAACTGATTAATTCCAGTCACCTCACCAGCGGTTGGTCACCTCCCTATCATTCTTCTATTATCCCTACCACCATGATTAATGTGAACTTCACTATTGGATTCATCCACCCATGTTGAGGACTCCGTCTACCAGACTGTTTTTTCGTCTCATCTACCACACTGCAGGTCACAACACACTCGCCACAATGCAGGCCACACTTCTCTGGAATAAAACCTGAAAAGTGCGCAAACAATGGGGAGGTGCACGCTTGGAATTACCCCAGGCAGAAATGTTAGCACGTTAATGAGAGAACGCACACAGGGCTAATTGCAGCACACAAGCTACGGAGAGTGGGCTTGGGCAGGGCGCGCCACGGATAGAAGGGGCCATGTCATGATGCACCTTTATCCAGGCAGTGGTGGCGAACACAACACCTCTGACCCAGCACTGTGGAGGCTACCAGGGTTGGTGGATCACACAAATGTTGTGAAATTCTCTTCCCTGTGGGCGTCGAGGTGCCACGCCCTGGCTCGCCAGGAAAAAAGCGGTACAGCAAAGTGTGGACCCCACCTGTTTCCATCTGCAGGAGAGCGCTGCTACCCACAGCACATCAAGCATGGGTTTTCCCAGGGTACTAGGGCTTCCTCCCACGTGTAAACACTCAATTGGCCGAAAATATCTTCATATAAAAAGGGTCGCAGAGCTTGTGGCAAGGGAGGTATAAATTGCCAGTTCACCGCCTGGCTGCTGCCTTCCCGCTCGTTCCTCCTCCTGGCGCCTCTCCTTGAGGGCTGTGCAGCGGCGGTGCCGAGTTGCAGACTCAACCCCGTGGCCCCGAGCCCGATTCAGATGTCATCTGAGGCCAGCGTAGCACGGTTTGGTACGGCAAATAGCAAGTGGAAAACAACATATACCGTAATGGTCCCGCGCTGGCTCGGCTCGGATGTGCCAGTGGGAAAGGGGACGAGACCCCCGACCCGCTGAGACTCCATTAACGTTCCGACCTTTTAAGTTACCCAACACCCGCGATGCCCCTTAATCCCCTGAAAACCCCCTGCGAGACCCCTCCAACTCGCGTGAGACCCTGTGAGCCGCTGCGAGTTCCGTCACACTTCAGATCGTCCCCGTGAACCCCTGAGACGTCGTGCACCCACGTGAGTCCCCGTGAGCGGAATACCCCTGCCACGTTGTGAGGTAAACCCTCTGCTCTGGCAACGCGTCACTTCTACCCCCCGTGATCTCGTGAGACTTGGCCTGCGGTTCGTGACTCCGGAACGCGCGCGGAAACTCTCGCGAGACTTTGGTCGACGCGCGCCTCACGCGGAAGTGGCGGAAGCCTCAGCTCGGACCTTAGAGGGACCAGGACCAGCGGGGCCTGCGGTGAGAAAGGATAAGCGGGGACCACCAGGGTCCAACGGGGACCAGAAGGGGCCAGCGGGGCCGCGGAGACGGGGACCACAGCGACAGGGACCAGTGGAGCCACGCGGTGACGGAAATCAACGGTGTCCGCGGCGAGGAGGGACCAATAGGGACCAGGAGGGAGCCGGAAGGGTCGGGACCGCTGCCAAGAGGAGGAGGAAGAAGCCGAAGCAGGCGGAACCAACCGGGACCAGGAGGAACCAGGCCCAGTACAAGGAGAGCGAGTGAGTCCGTCTCTCCCCGTACCCCACCGTACGCGCTCTCCGGGGAATGGCGAAGAGAGGAGAGAGACGGGGAGAGTGGAGCTGAGTATCCGGTCGAGTGATCCCTGTGATGCCCCCGACCCCCTATGCTCCCCTCTGATCTCAGGTCTGGTGAGGCCGAGCGGGGCCTCGCCTCGGGGACATGGAAGCCGTGGCCAAATACGACTTCAACGCCACAGCCGAGGACGAGCTGAGCTTCAAGCGGGGCGACGTGCTCAAGGCGACACTCCCATCACCACCCACATCCCACCACGAACTACAACACGCCAATACGCTACAACACTTCATACTCCCACCTACATACATCCAAAGACAAAGCTCCCCCGTATAGACTTTAACAGACTGTAGGAGAATGTGCTGTTAGCGAGCACCTGTCAATGGTCAGCACGACTGGGTGGGTGGCCAGCACAACCACAGGCCGCGTTTGTCTCCCGAGCAGCGATGTTTACACACCATTCGAGGTTCAGTCGACCTATACACAGCACATCACACACAGTACCCAAATAAGACTTTATACACCATACACACGATAGCTACACCACATACATCACACGAAAACCACCATACCATATTGTCCACCCAACGTGTACGGCCCTAACTACACACACCCCAATTCAAACACTCCACAACAAACTCGCCACAGGCAACCACAATTCCTACATGCAACACGCGCACACTAACCACACTCGCCGATTAGCACGGTTGGCTACGTACGGTGCTAAAGAAGTTCAGCATATATGCCACACACACTACTCGCCACCACACACTGACGGACACTTGCACTGAGTTTTCAGTGTACACTGGATTTTCAGTGTACACTGGGTAAAACACATTGAAAGCCACAGCAAATTTATACTGAGAAGTAGAATTCACAGTCGGTTATATTAGTAAAAACATAAAAAATAAGTACATACATACAGATGGAATCTCAGAATAGAAATTACAAATGTTTTAAACAACAACAACCATTTAGGGTCGTGTAATTAATTGTGAGAATGGTGGCACTTTGGTTTGCGCACTTTGGTTTGCGCACTTTGCTCTAAACTTGGCGAACCGAGTTCGATTTACGGCCATAACTAGCAACGTTGGCGACAGATATTTGAACTGATGCTGAACTACCATCTTCATCAACATGGTCAAACAACCTCCATGAACCGACGTGTCGTGGAGAGGCCTTCGTTCAATAGTGGCTTGACAAGGGCTGTAAATGGAAGTGTACATAGTCAAGGTTAGTGTGTGTGATGGTGGGTGGCAGGCCAGTAGCGCAGTGGTAACACCTGTGCCTCACAGCAAGAAGTTCCTGGGTTCGATTGCTGACTCGGCTGCGTTCTATGTGAAGTGGGTGCGTTCTCCTCCTCTTCTGCGTGGGTTTTCTGTGGGTTGGTCGGTTTCCTCTGATAGCGAAGAAAACATAGAATGTAACCGATATTGGCCAAACATCCAAATGCTGAACCATTCCTGGCAAATTACTCAAATGGAATTACACATAGCAACATAGCCGATACTACGAAAGCTTGGCAGGACTCTCCTGAAACAGTCTTGTCATTGTGTGAGGCTTTCCCAGGTAAACAATTGTAATAATCGTATAATAATAGCTATAGACGAGACGTGAAGCACTGCTGGATTCGGGAGTCCCCGAGGAATGTTCATACGAGGCTAACGTGGAGCGCGGGCCTCCCTGGCTTCACGCTGCAGGTCCTGAACGAAGACTGCGACCAGAACTGGTACAAGGCAGAGCTGAACGGACGCGATGGATTCATACCCAAGAACTACATCGACATGAAGCCCCACCCGTGAGCAAGCCCCTGCCTTCATGATTCACGTCACCCGCAGTCATACTGGACACATGCCCTCGTCTGTTTACGTGCAATAGTCATCCATAATGCTGTTTCTGTAACCTTTGATTTTTTTCGTAATTTGTCCAAACCAATTATGGTTGGATATGATTGTGTGGATATGTTTAGGTATTATGAGTGGTGGGGGGGGGGGTATAGGTGGTGGTTATTATGGCTGTGTTGGTGGATATGGGTGGGTGTGTGGCTTTGCTAACACAGGGAACGTCTGAGTGTGTGCAGATGGTTTACTGGGAAAATCCCGCGCGTCAAGGCAGAGGAGATGCTCAATCGGCAGAAGTTTGATGGCGCGTTTCTGGTGCGGGAGAGTGAGAGTGCTCCAGGGGACTTCTCCCTCTCAGTGAAGTGAGTGCGGCACGTGTGTATGTGTTTGTGTCATGGTTATTTCACTTGTTCACCCAGGATAGCTGCACTTAGTCTCAGGGCTCATTCAGGAGGGTCCTACGAAATTTTCACAGTTGGGGCACTGATTTGAACTGTCAAGGGGAACAACCTCGTCTCCCCACTACAAAGACAGATCCCCTGTGAAGCCTTACCAGACTTTTGAGGCAAATGCTATTAGTGACCACCTATGAAGGCCTGCATTGCACACAAGGAGGCACACAGACTTATACCCAGACACGTGCATTGCAAAGGCAGAAAGGCACCCAAGGATGACAAATCTCACACGTGATCATTGGCTGGCAGCGTCGAGCTGCGTGTGTGTTGCTGTCTTTTTGTATGCGCGAGTACATTTGTGCACATGTTGTGTGTGTGGGTGTGCACCTGCATGTCGCTTGTCATGTCTCGTGAACTGTGCCGTTCGCGACGTACACCATGTACACTGTGGCCCGTAGTCTCAGTCACAGCTTGTCTCCGACTTGGCTCTAGCTTGGCATGAGAAGGCTCAAAGCCCTACGTTTGACTTTATCCAGCTGTCAGAATGGTCCCAGCCGCACTCAGGATTTAAGTGAGCCAAGCCTGAGCTGAGCCACTGCGAAGCCTCTCGCTTGGATGTCTTTGAAAGCAATCGAGCAGCTCAAGCCTGAGTTGGGCCATGTTCGAGGCCGAGTCAGAGCCAAGCCGCGACAACGAAAATAGGGGCTCTATAAGTAGACATTGTAATGGGACCTGCTGCGGGCTGTCGCCAGGTCTTATCCGGAGCATACTAGTGTGGGTGCATGCCATTGACTCTGTTACGCGAACGGCATTGTTTCCTCTTTTGGAGCCGTGGGGGAAATAGCGGTAAAGCACGAGCGGCCGGTCCAGTGTGAGCGACGAGCCTGCGTTCCTGGAGAGCGTCGCTTCGTGTGGCGTGCGCACTTGTTAACTGGTACGGTGGTCACCGTGTTAAAAATAGGTTACAGGTTCTGAAAACCAGGAACCAATTCCAGGAACGTGAGTAACTAATGCACTGATTGGCTCATGCTGATGTCAAATCGCTGGCTGACCAAGTCACTGCGTGGTTCATTTGTCAGTGTGTCTCAATTAAAAGGTAAAGATGCAGCCCTGCAATTGCTCGCTCACGCCAATGCTGACAGAAGAGCCTCCACTAGAGGGAGCTCCAATGGGTGTTTGGTCTACTCTTCCTTACTAGATTGAAAGTCTTAGAGTGCTATTGCACCAATATGGCATCTGCCTTCGCTGCTCGGTTAAATCAAGCTAAATAGGTTTTTTAATGCTCTCTGTACATGTGGCAAACCAGTACTATCCAGTTTAATTATATTTTTCTAGACAGAACAAACCAATTCTAGTGACGACCCAGGCTGCTTGCCCACGTTTTCCTGGGTGATGCGGTGCTGCTTCGCGTGCACCCAAAGTGATCGCAGCATCGCTTCCTGCAGTGTGAGCGTGCGGCCCCCACCCCAGCCTGCACTTACACTTGGCCTCAAACCCCCCGCACGCCTCTCACCCACGCGCCATCACCACCGGCGACCACACGGACTTCACACCATGGTCCTGGTTATTTGCCTTATCTGCCCAGCCCGTCCCCCGTCAGCGACGGGGCATTCCCGCCGCCACGTGTGTGGCCCCGAGCGAGTCGCTGCCCCGGCGTCGCCACAAGGAAGCAGCGTGTCGCTTATCCCGGCCCCGCCCTCCGTGGCTGATTGCCCCTAATCTGGAGGTTAACATTGAGTCCAGGGGACATTGTGTAATGGGCAACGATTTTGCTTGAGGCTTTCGAGAAGTTGGTGAGGTTGGGTCGGAGCTGTTTATTTCCTGAAATGGCTGCCACTGTTTGCCACCTTTCCGTTTTTCGCCTGTGCTTGGAGCGCAACTCATTTCAATAATGTGAACTAACCCAGAGCAGTGCTTTTAGCCCTCAATGGATGACGAGAGCGTGGCTTGGTTATGACGAACATTTCCTCTACTGCGTGCTCGAGTCACCCAGGAGGAAGTTGTAGCCATCCCCCTTCTGCTCCAGTCTGTGCCGCCCGCATCCTCGCGGTTCAAGAGTTGTCTTCATGCGTGCGCGGTTGTCATCTTACATTGTTCAAGTTGATTTTGTGGAACCAGGTGGGAACTCAAAAGACCAGGATGAGAATCTCATTTGTAAGAGCAACTGTTCGGCCAACCTAGGCCACCAAAATGACAGAAGCAAAAATATAAAAAATAAAGTACAGCAAAGCAGCAAATTGACCTTATGGTGGGACCCTGGGGTCCCATAAGCCCCCGGCTCTCGCTTAAACTGCGTTGTTACGTTTTTTTTTTGTCTGTTGAAAGCGAACAATATGGCAATCTATTCCTCTCGAAGAGCTCTGCACGACACACTAATCAAAGTTTTAAAGTTTTGTTTATGATTCCGGCAATTTTGGCAACGACGGGTGCTTGGTGAAGAACGAGAGGATTGATTTCTGGTGGGTCGCGGCGTTTATGTGCGCGGTGGGACGGATTCGCCAAAAATAAAATAATCAATTACGATTTTGACTTCCGTTTATTCGGGACCCCGGGATCCTGCCATAAGGTTAAAATACCAATCGGCACAAAAACAACAAAATGTCAGTCAGAGTAAAAAACAACCAAATAGAAAATCATAACAAAAACAACCACATCACAGATGATATTGAAAACAGTGCACGAACAAAACTAATATAAAATTTTCAGTAACAAGTTGGCCGAAAAAAAGTAGTTTTAAAAACCATTCTTAATAGCTCAAGTTACAGTAAAACATAAAAATAGAGTGCGAGTGAAGTGATCATATGGTGAGTGTGTGCGTTTCTGCCCTTGTGATGCACGTGTCTCAGCCTGCGTGTGTGTGGTGGCAACCCAGGTTGGATTCCCTGCGACAGCTTATATCAATTGCCAGTGATATCTGAGCCACTCCTGAGCCTCCGCTATAAATATCGGCACTGGAGGAGACACTGGCCTGAATGGTGCCTGCCACATCTCACCACACTTATTCACCTTCCTGGTCGTAATACCCGCTAGCTTTAACAAACAGAGGCGTGCAGCGTTGGATGTGCTTAGGCCCTCTACCTTACCCATGCCACCAGCTCAAAAGGGGGGGCTTCAAGGGAGTTATCTGCGTGCATTCCAGGTTTGGGAACGACGTGCAGCACTTTAAGGTGCTGCGGGACGGTGCAGGGAAATACTTCCTTTGGGTCGTCAAGTTCAACTCCCTGAACGAGCTGGTGGAGTATCACCGCAGCACGTCCGTGTCGAGGACGCAGCAGATTTTCCTGCGGGACATGGAGCAGCTACCACAGGTGAGCCCCCGGTGGGGGGAGCGGTGGGGGTGGGCATGGCGGGGGAGGCTCGAGGCACACTTGACACACCACCCTCTAACCGGATACTGGTGGTGGCAACTGATACGCTCCAAGATCTCAAGCGGTGGGGAGATGGTCCCACTTACTGCCTGGGTTGAGGTGGTAGTGCTGGCGGAGTGAGAATTAATTTCTTTTTGCGCAGCGTGAGTTGCGGCGATTAACGCCATGCCACTGCTGCCGAGCCCCTATGTCTCAAGAGGTTTACAATGGTTGTGTCTGATACACTGAACCAGTACCACCGAGATTATGGGTTCGAGCTCTTTGTCTAGGTGTCTATGGTGGGATCGTAATGGTCATCATTACGCCACGCCAGCACACCTTAGAACCTGGTATTGAGAGCTGGGTCTGAGTATCTCTATCACTGGGCAGGAGGTGGTCCCATTCACTGCTTGGGTTGTGGTGGTGGTGATACTGGCGGGAGTGAACGTCTGTGCCCAGTGCAAGTAGCGGCGATTAGCGTAGAGCCACTGCCACTCAGCTGCTGCCACCACCGCCAGCAGCAACAGCAGCTGTGTGTAATTGGCCGCTCAGCGCTGTTCAAACACACAGCACTGTTTACCCACGTGTCTCACTGCTGCTGCCACACGAGTGTTTTTCCGACATGATCGCGACTGTGTGTGAAGTAGACCATGATGGTGGTGGATGCGCCTCGCTGCCCAGCCGTGCGGCTCCTGCGCTGTGCACACTGCCTTGCCCACTGCCTGTGCCGTTACTTCTTGTAGTGATTGGCCCCCTCACGATGCGGGGTCGTGGTTCACATCACGTTTCCAGTTATTTTTTTACACCATCATACGTGCAGCGCCTCTAGTAGTAAGCACACTGCACTGCGAACCCGATGGCCAGAGTTTAATTGTCGTGCACAGCCAACATCGGGGACGGATATCTGAATCGGTCCTGGGCCTCCCCTATATTGACTCAACCTTAAATGATGACCTTGTGTGGTGTGTAAACATTTTCACTGGGGAGACAAAGGCGGCCAGGCACGTTTCTGGCCACTCCATCCCTCATGTGCCATGCCAGCCTTCATAGGTGCTCGCCAACAGCACTTGCCTCAACAGTTGGTTAAGACCACATGGGGGATCTTTGTCTTTGTGTTGTTTGCAGGCGGCGACGCGCGTGCAGGCCCTATTTGACTTTGAGCCACAGGAGGACGGGGAGCTTGGGTTCCGTCGGGGAGACTTCATCACGGTGGTGGACAGCTCCGATCCCAACTGGTGGAAGGGCTCGTGTCATGGCCGAGCGGGGATGTTCCCCCGTAATTACGTTACTCTCGCAAAGTAACTGGCGCGGCACACTGGCAGGTCCGGCCCTGGCCCTCCCCGGACCCACGTGTACTCTCTCCTCGCGGAGCAGAGACTCGAGCAACACTTCCCCTCTGCGCCCTGACTCTTCCGGTCTCGGTTCCGTCGCGCCTGTTTTAATTGTTTATTGTTTCCGACATGTTTTCTAATTAAATGACAATTGAGTGCTCAGTATTTAACGTGATATTTTGTAGAGACAACAGAATGGCTGTCGGTGCCCGGGAGTTGCCAGGTGGTGTTGTGTGCCCACGATAAGTTTGCCTAATGTGCCCGGGGTTCTGTGGGAACTGTTGTGGAATGGCGTGCCTGTGCATGCATTGGCTCGCCCGGCGCTGCCGTTGCCCGGCGCGGTCCAGTTTGTCACCGTTGGGAACACAGAGCCCTCACTCCGTGCTCCCACTGCCTGCGAGAGCGATTCCCAACGCTTCGTTAACACACTCGGTTTAGATGCAGAGGCGGCCCACGACATGGGGGTCGCATCATTGGCGAGGCCTCGGGTTGGGGTGAGAGGGCGTCGCCACGATCGGGGGCGATCCTGGCGTGGGTGGCGCGCGGCCCGGGTCTTCGCGTGTCTGGCTTCGTTCAGGCCTAATGCTGCGTTGGCATCGTTTGGTTTGTTGTAGCAGGTGTGACAATTCTTCTGTGATTTTTTTATAACAATAACGACAATAATAACATTCCGCCCTCTGTTTTGCTTTCTGTCATGTCTGTACTATTATGCTGATGTTCATGCATTGTTACTCCTAGAGAATCCAATCAGGTAAAATTCTAGATAAATGTTGCATAAGTTGAAGTCCTGATGGTGGTGATAACCATGCCCTGTGGTGCCTGATGCAACGCGTGTTTCTGCACGTGTATTACAACATGCAGTGGGCAATATGCCCATGCCCATGCCCATTGGTTTTGCAAATCCTGGTTTCCAGCGAGTTCCGCCAAATAGTTTTATCAGCTGGGACGGTACCACATTCAAAATGTCTCAGAACAGCCAATCTGGTTGAAAATCGGCCGATCTTTCATCAGCCTGACTTGGTAATAAAGCACAGGGGCCTCCACTCACTACCTCACTGCCCTGCGTTGGATAGAATTCAAGAGTGAAGCAGTCAGGGTGATTGATTCATTTAGTTACACGCTCGCTTGCTCGCTCACCATTGGTCGGTCGCCTCCCTATCACTCTTCTATTGTTGTTACTACCATGGTTACTGTTCCTGCGAACGTTTCTAATTGATTCCTCTACACATGTTGAGGACTATCTACCAGACTGTTTCGTCTCATCCATACTGTGTTCAAACACAATACTGCAAGTTACAACAAGACACTCATCCACCCACACCCTCACACATACTCACCCACCCACTCTAGCCACACTGCAGGTCATCTCGCTTCTCTTTCTGCTTCCCTCACACTGCTGCACTTTGGAATTCCCTTCTGTCTCTTTGCCCAAGCTCAACTCAACGTTGCTCAATTCAAGAAACCTGATACCTATTACAGCTTTGACAGTGGTGATCGTTGCTGGCCATTTAGCGTTTTTGGGTTTTTTGCCTTGTGCTGAGAAATTCGCATGTCTGTGAGCCGCGTCTGACGTCGCAGTGTGGGGAGAGCCCCCTGCTGCCCGCGGTGGGGGACACAGTGCCGGCTACGCTGTCGGCTCCTCTTGCGATGCTCCCTTTACCCACTCCCACTCCACAGGCGTCTGTTCTCTGTTGTGCACGGGGACTTGCCACCTCTTCCATTGAGCAAACACAGGACTTAATTCTCACTTGCCCTCGATCTGTCAAAACTACTGTACAGTTTCCTACAATATAGTTCAACATAGTAACCAGCACCATATTTCATTACAAATAAATTCTGGCTACCCAAATTAGTCACCTGTGTACGGTGATCCCACGGTCAGCCTATCGGGTGCTCCAAACCTGAACCTCGAGGGGCCTCTGAAAGTGACCGATGGATCTCTTGTATCAGACCCTGGAGAGTGTAGGCCTGTGTGGACCAGGTACTTTGAGCAGCTCCTCGTTAACTCTCCTCCGGCTGTGAAATTGAACATGACTGATGATGTGCCCAAGGCCACTTAGTGATGACAGTCCACTTTGTGCCGAGTCACAGACCACCGAGTGGTGCGCGACAGGCCCCTGTAAGTGGTGAGGGACCAGCCGCTGTGAGTAGTGAGCAACAAGTCGCTAAGTGATGAATGGGCCACTGAGTGGGAATGAGTGGCTAGGCTGGTCTACAGGCAGCAGTGATGCCAGTGTCCCAAGCCAGACATCGGACATGGTGCCAATCTCCCAAGCCACTGCCCAGCAAGGCCAGGGACCACGACTCGGTTGTTTTAGTCTTGACACCGCAATGGTGCTCGAGTGTGGGTGGCGGGGCCAGGGTTGGGGATTCAGGTGGTGCCTGCAGACGTCTGGAACCATGCGCAATCTGCTCACTGACAGAACCTCAGGATCTTTATTCGCTGGATTTCTGGAGTGTGTTTCATACACAACCAATTGTTTTATCAAGCACATGTATTATGTCAATAAAATCACCAATGCCAATTAAGGTCCTCGTAAGCAGTAACGTTAACGAGCACGTCGATTAGAATTCGTATGCGTGGAGTGGTGCGATGAGTAGCTTTGCTGTGAGGTGGGAATGTGTCTTGGAGCATTGTGGGGCTGGAGCGTAAATTGGCAGTGTCGATAAACTGAATTCGTTCCATTGGCCACAGCCTTCTGCGAAACAGCATGTTAGCATTATTGGTTCAAGACAAGCAAAAGCTATATTCTTTTGGTCTTTAGGTAAAGTCACGTAGATAGGTTCAAAGAAAATAACGTGACTTTACCGAAAGACACAAAGAATATGAATTCCTGCAGTCACGAAAGCTTTGAGTCAAGATTTATAAGCAAAACTGTGGACCAGTACTGCGTCTCATTAGCATGAGTGATGGGATGTGTAAAATATAAATAGGCGAAATGTGTGGCTTCTTTGAGTGAAACAGATTCCATTCCAGACTCGACCACCACACCAGGCGGCAAGACGGCAGCGCAGTCGTGTTTGATTCCGTACCCGGGAACCTTTCTGTATGAAGTTTGTATGTTCTCCCCTGTTATGCATGGGTTTCCTCTGGGTTTTCTGATTTCCTCTCACAGCTAAAAACACATGCATTTTATCTGGGATTGGCCAAATATCCCAATGCTGAAAAATTACCTGCAAATTACTCAACTGGAATTACACAGCAGCAACAATATCACCCCCAACTGTGAACTTGGCAGCACCCTGCTGAACAAGCGTTGAGTTTAATAAGTAAACATACAATCGGATCAGCAGGGCGTCAGATCGTTCTGGCCGAAGTGAGTGCGTAATGATGAGTCCGGTGAGCGTGCTGGTGAGTGGCATCTGCTCCTCCATGGCCACGCCTCTAAGCGAAGTAGCCGTAGAAGTAGATGTTGACGCAGATTAAGACGACAGCGTTGACGCAGCAGACCCGGGCCCACAGGGGCCGCTCGCCCTCATCCCTCGCAGCCTGGTTCCGCGGGGCCACTGCGGGGGACGGGGCTGCATCACCGGCGCACAGTCCCCTGCCGGCTCCCCGCCAGGGGCGCGAGCAGCCAGGCTCCCCGCAACCTGCAGTGGGCGGGGGATGGGAGAGAGGAACGTGACCGCCCGTCCGCTGTGGGGGTCACTGGGATCGCAAACACCAGCCACGGAAGCTGCTCCTCCAGCAGTGGCACAAGCGAACCATTGCGGGGCTGCACCTTTACCTCGCCTCCAGTTCACACGGGGCACGGCACTCTTCCACGTCGAAAGTCCGGGCCCGAAGATGGAAATTCAACAATCGCAAAGCGGGGAAAAGAAAGTGTGTAATGTGAGGGGATCAATGTTGACTTGCTTTCTGGCTCTCGTGAGTAGTGCAACGTTGAGGCCGATTGGTACCTGAGATACCAGGTGTTACAGGCTCGGTACAAAAGGACTTGCGCATTTCTAAAAAAAAATGACGTATTTAGTCTTATATGAACTCGAGACCAGGATGAATCATTTGCAAGAGTGACCTGTGGCATTCGTGTGCCAGTAGGGGGCGGCGGTTGCTGTGTGCATCGTCCCAAACGAGGAACTTGCAGTGTAATTTTCTAATTTGTGAGCATTTTCTGTGCACGTGTGCGGTGGCGGTCGTTGGGTCAGGCCTGGGAGGGTCACCTTTGTGCGGGGGGGTGGTGGCGGGGAGAGTGCGCTGCCGCGTGGCTCTGTGCGACGCGGTCCTCCACGTGAGCCCCACCACCTGGCGCGCACATGACCACAAGGACCCGCCGTGTAGCCCTTCACTGTTGAGGCAAGTGATGTTCGTGAGAACCGATGAATGCCTGCATCGCAAACGAGAAAGTCGTGTGGCCAGGACCATCCCCAGTCACCATTTCCTCCCCAATTCAGATATACACGAATAGACATGGCAATGTGTGTGTGAGTAAGCACAGCCCCCTCGGCGCATGCAAAACCCATCCACGCCATTCATCCACCCACTCACCCTGCCACCCACTCACCCTGCCATCCCCCCCCACCACCCACCCGGTCGCGTGGCTGTGGCTCGGTGAGGAGGCTGACGGCGACAATGACGATGGCACTGAGGCCGCACAGGATGATGGCGAAATAGAGGTAGTGCAGGCGGGCGATGGTGGGGCGCAGGTCGGCCTCGCCGCACCGCCCCGGCGGGTGCACAAACTCCAGCACCATGCGCATCACGCCCAGCGCCAGCCCCACCATCATCCCCCAGAACGCGCCCTGTGAGCACACGCGGGCATCCGCTCAGCATCTGCCACACCATCACCAACACCATCACTACCGCCGCACCACGTTTGCACCTTCTCGTTGGTGCGTTCCCAGAAGACGGCGAGCACGAACACGGCGGTGACGGGCGGCGCCAGGTAGCTCGTCACCGACTGGATGTACACGTAGAGCTGCCCGCTGTTGGCGCTTTGTAAGATGGGGATCCACACGAGGCTCGCGGCCACCAGGATCACGGTTACCAGCCTGGGCAGCACACAGAGACACAGATCCCTTGTGTAGCCCACACAGGCTGTCGGGGCAAGTACTGTCAGCGAGCACCTATGAAGGTCAGCACGGCGGACAAAGGGGTCGTTGATCGACACCTTTATCTCCCCAATGCTGATGTTTTACACACCGAGCCAGGCACTAGTTTAAGTCTGGGTCGACCGAGGACCGGTACAGATATTCGTCACCGATGTTGGAAATTAGTGGAAATCAAACTCGGATCGCCAGTTTCAAAGCGCAGTGTGTTAACCAATCCGCCACCGCTCCCCACGCACACAGACACTGCAACACACACAAAATACTACACAGCGCACCCAATACATTTACACCACCGTCGCTCCCACCACCAGCGTCTCGCTATCCCTCAAGGCAACCGGACCCCAGCAGCACCGCTCCCCACGCACGCGCGCACAACCTTCCAACAAGCAGCAGCTCCCGCTCAGAGGCACGGCGCCGGAACTTTTTCCAGATGTCCATGGTGAAGAGTGTGCTGGAAGAGTTGAAGATGGAGGTGAGGGAGGACATGAGGGCAGCCATCATCACAGCGATCATAAGTCCTCGCAGTCCTGCACACACACGAGCACGTTTGCAGTATGTACTACAACACGCGATCTCCACCACTAAGCGATAGTCAAATCACCACGGAGCTTGTGCCAGGCTAGGTGCACTTTGAGGCCATCACATGATGTGTGGAAGGATCACTGTTTTTGGCAGGTCACAGAACAGACCCAGGTTTTGAGGGTTGACTGAGATGACTGCAGATGCACCTCCGATGCTCCCACTGCCAACTTGCTGCGTTGTATCAACCCAGAGCTTCGCTCAATGTGAGCGTCGCTCCTCCGCCCTCTGTTGTTGTTGGAGGGCGACTGCCTCCAATTGCCCAGTAACATCCTTCATGAGCCTCTTCCACAGGTGCCGATCTTAATACCGTTGGTACCAATCATCGGCAGTCCACTCAAATACACATTCTGTACCACATCAACCCGTCACTTATCGAGGAACCTTGCCTGCCAAAGGAGCTCACTAATGGGACCATGTCCAGATCTTTCTAAGGTCTGTGAGCTCCTCACACAATGAAATTTGGATCTCTAATTAAGCAGAGATGTAGGTCCTGTTACAATTCCCCACACCTGTAGCAGACGGGACATAGAGTAGGGCGTCTGTGCAGGACCACCCCAGGTCTGAAACCAGATTGGGGCTCCGCAAGCCTTTCAGCAAGCCGATGTTGAATGATCTTTGTCAAGACCTATCCCGGCACACTGAGGGATATTCCCGATTAGTTATTACAATCTGTGCGGTCCCCTTCTTAAAAATCGGGGACCAACAGGGCAACCTTCCAATAATGAAGAATCTGTCCTGCGGACCAGATGGTTGTAATTATGTCATATCACATACTGCACAGAAATTATATCCTCAAAAATTCGCTTGAGAGGTCATCTCTGCCTAGAGCTTTACCTGGTCTCAGGCTCTGTATTGCTCTTCACACTTCCTTAACAGATGGCACGTCAGCCAAACACTCACAGGGGGTGGATACTTCCTTCAATATTTCAGACACTTCAGGCCCAGCAGGGTAAACCCAATCTTGCAAGATCTCACACAAATGAACATACACGCAGTGTGTGTACCCTCACATAAATGCACACACACACACATAATTTACACATCGTGTATCCACACATCCATCCCCTATGCGTCGCGAATTTATTTTTCAGAAACTTTGCACCGCCTCATTGCGTCTCTGATTCCTCAATTTATGTGCACACATCACCCCCCCCCCCCCGTGCCGCCTACCCTCCAAGGGGCACTACTAACCGCTGGGCATGAGTTCAATGACGAGCTTGGGGTAGGCGATGTTGGAGCAGCCGACCTCCGAGCCACACACCTTGCGACACTCGCCCGGGTCCACACAGCCCACAGAGTCTGGGGGCAAGTGGCATGCGAAGGAAGCTAGAGGGTGAGTGAGCGGGTGATTTGAGTGGACGAGGAAGGCTGCGCATCAAGTTATGAGTGGGGGAGTGGAGTGAGAGCGAGTGAGCGATGTAATGATGGAGTGAGTGAAGATGTAATTAATTGTGAGCAAGATAGTGAGTGAGTCGTCGAGTGAGGAGGGTACGCACCGGGGTAGAGAGCACGGCTGATCATGCCAGGCATGATGATAAGCCCCATGGGCAGCATCTTGAGGTAGCTCGCCAAAATGGAGCCACCCTTGGCATGGCTCAGGTTCTTGGCGGACAGTGAGCGCTGCACGATCACCTACACAGACAAAGGCCACCCCGTATAGCGTTGGGGAAAGTGCTGTTTGCACCTATGAAGGTCGGCACGGCGCAGAAGGGGGTAGTGTAGCATTTGTCTCCCCAGTGCCGATTCTCATTTACTGCTGAGTCGAGGCCCAGCACCGGTTCAGATATTCACATCACCACCCCACCAACGGAACCACGGCCTCGCGCCCGCTTTCGGATGGATGTCCCAGGACTGTGAGAGCGGCTGTCGCGTACCTGGTCCGTGCACCAGTACCAAGTGGCTAGGATGGAGAGGCCGAAGAGCATCCCGGGCCAGGGCAGGTCCCCGGAGCGCGCGTCGCGGAACATGTGCATGGCGTCGGCGCGCGGCAAGTGGCAGCTGGCGTTGGGGATGATGCGCGCTGGTATCGCACGCAGGTAAACCTCCTCCAGCCTCGCGTAGCCCCCGATCTGTCGGAACGCTGCCACGTGGCGGGGGGAGGGGGGGGGCGGCGAGTGGGGAGCAAGGGGGGTCATGTGAGAGGGTTGCAAGGAGATTGAGCGGAGGGGCAAGGGAGTGGGGTGGAGGGGGGAAGTAGAGGGAGAGTCAGAGGGGGTAAGGGAGTGTAGGCCGCATACCGGACACGCTGAGGATCACGGCCCCGATGATCATGATGACCGTCTGCAGCGCATCCGTGTAGATGACAGCGGCGAGGCCTCCTGAGGATCACGATGGGGTGAGCCCACAGAGACGCAGTCACCACCCCTATTCCACCACCCCTACTTCATCAGCCCATTTCTACCACCCCTACTCCACCAACCCAACTCCGCCACCCTTACCCACCACCCCATCTCCACCACTCCTACTCCACCACCCCTACTCCACCACCCCATCTCCACCACCCTATCTCCACCACCCCTACTCCACCACCCCTACTCCACCACCCCTGCACCACCCCTACTCCACCACCCCTACACCACCACCCCTACTCCACCACCCCTACTCCACCACCCCTACTCCACCACCCCTGCACCACCCCTACTCCACCACCCCTACTCCACCACCCCTGCACCACCCCTACTCCACCACCCCTACTCCACCACCCCTACACCACCACCCCTACTCCACCACCCCTACACCACCAGCCCTACTCCACCACCCCTACACCACCCCTACTCCACCACCCCTACACCACCCCTACACCACCACCCCTACTCCACCACCCCTACTCCACCACCCCTACTCCACTACCCCTACTCCACCACCCCTACTCCACCACCCCTACACCACCCCTACTCCACCACCCCTACTCCACCACCCCTACTCCACCACCCCTACTCCACCACCCCTACACCACCCCTACTCCACCACCCCTACTCCACCACCCCTACTCCACCACCCCAACTCCGCCACCCTTACTCCACCACTCCTACTCCACCACCCCTACTCCACCACCCCATCTCCACCACTCCTACTCCACCACCCCTACTCCACCACCCCTACTCCAACCACCCGATCTCCACCACCCCTACTCCACTACCCCATCTCCACCACTCCTACTCCACCACCCCTACTCCACCACCCCTACTCCACCACCCCATCTCCACCACCCCTACTCCACCACCCCTACTCCAACCACCCGATCTCCACTACTCCTACTCTACCACCCCTACTCCACCACCCCTACACCACCACCCCTACTCCACCACCCCATCTCCACCACCCCTACTCCACCACCCCTACTACAACCACCCGATCCCCACTACTCCTACTCCACCATCCCTACTCCACCACCCCTACACCACCACCCCTACTTCTCCACCCCTACTCCACCACCCCTACTCCACCACCCCTACTCCACCACCCCTACTCCACCACCCCTACTCCACCACCCCTACTCCACCACCCCTACACCACCACCCCATCTCCACCACCCCTACTCCACCACCCCTACTCCACCACCCCTGATGGCGCTGGTGATGCGGCCCGTTGGCTTTACCGGCGATGGTGTAGAGTGCTGTCACCACCAGCATGAGCACTGTGGAGAGGTAGAGGTTCCACCCGAGACACACGTGGATGAACAGCGCCCCCGAGTAGAGGTCGGTCTGAGGGCGGGGCGAGGGTTTGGTTGCGCACTGCTCTATCAACCCGGCATCCCGAGTTTAATTTCCGCTTATGGCCGTCAACGGTGACGAAAATTTGAACGGGTCGAGGGCCTCTCCCAAGGCAACTCAGTCTTAATTGAGTATTTGGTTTGGCGTGTAATCATCAGCCTTGGTGAGACAAATGCGGCCTGGCATGGTCCTGGCCACACCACCATGTACCGTGCTGGCCTGAATAGATGCTCGCTAAGAGCACTTGCTGCAACAGTCTGTTAAGGCTAAAACGGGCAGTATTTGTGTAGAGACACAGGGAGTGTGTAACTAAGTGAGAGCCCAAGAGAGTCTCGTGTGCAAAAGTGACCTGGTCACAAACATGACAAGAGCATGAAGTGAGGGGAAGGGTGGGCGGGGAATATGCGGGGAGTGTGTGGGAGAGGCGGGGAGCGCGGGGGAGACGCGGGGCTACTCTCACGGAAATCTTGGTGAAGACGGAGAGCAGAAGGGAGAGCGCAGACAGGTACATGCGGATGCGCTCCCCGCCGAAACGCTTCTGCAGGTACTCGGGCATCGTCACGATCTGCAGCCCCACACAGCGCGATGCGCCCTTAGCTGGGACCTGCAGTTGAACCTGGCTTGGAGCTCCCAGCCCCTAGCTCACTGACCCACTCTCTCATCCACTCATTCATTCATCCAACCATTCACCAAATTGCAGGTCATCTCATTTCACTTTCTGTTGCTTCCCTCGCACTGCCCCTTTCCCCCAAGCTCTTAGAATAATAATCACCTTGCTCAATGCAAGAAACGCGTGGACCCGAACCTATTCCGAAAACTCAACACATTTGTCAGGAATACTATTTGTGTGTGGTCTTAAAAACAAAAGTATCTACTGGGCGACGTTTTCGGCAATGGCCCTTCCTACTCGAAAAGTCGTCTGTTATACATTATATTTGTAACCCCCCCCCCCACAGTGCTATTGGTGAATGTGCTGAGTTGTGTTATTTGTGCACCACTGCCAACGGAGTACAGTATCGCAAATTAGTGCTGTTTGTTGCTGGCTGCTTGACATTTTGGGCCTTAGGGCCTGTGTCGACACAGCGAGGCGGCGAGTGGGGGAGTAGGGGCGAGCGGGTGAAAGGAATGGGGGTAGGAGGGGGGTGGAGGGAAAAGGGGGTGTGGGGGAGTCCTACCTCTGCTGAGATGTACACGGGCACGAACACCCAGGCGAGCGCCAGGAGCACGTAGGTGGCCTGGGAGGGATCGGAAAGACGCGGGTGGGTGAGGGGGTGGTGGGAGGGAGCCCCGTGCCAGGCCCCGCGCCCCCGGTGAGCGCGCGCGCCTGCGAGTCCCGTGAGATGCGGGGGGTTGGTGGAGCGGAGTGGGCTGGCCGCGTTTGGTGTGAATCGACTATGCGACTCGAGGAGCGTGTCTCACTGGCCGTTAAGACCTCGCGGCTCAAAATGTAATTATGTTTTAAACCGTTAAAACACTTGGGAAAATACTATAACAACAATAATGCCAATTTGTAACGCGAGGAGGAACCACAGACGAGTGGGAAGACTAACGCCAGAGCTCTGCGGCCCTCTATGTATCAAGGTGCTATTGGCAAATTAATGAGTATGAGTATTTACATGTGGGATGAAACTGGAGTACCCTGAGAAACCCCACACGTGCGAGGGGGCAACACCCTATCGGCCTATCCCATACAGATATAGAACAGGTGTCTTTCACACGTTGCTGTACCGCCGTCTCCTGGCGAGTCAGGGTATGGCTCCTCGATGCCCACGGAAAAGAAATTCACAACATGTGTGCTCCACCAACCATCACTGCCTCCACATTGCTGCATCACAGGCGAGTGCCACCACCGTTCGGCTTGAAATGCCTCAACTCAGCCGAGCCTTTTCCTTAACGGCTTCTTAACACCGCCCAAACGCCCCATACAGACCCCGCGCTGGTGTGTGCTCAGTACGGGGTGAGACCCCCGGAGCGCGGGGTCCCTACATTCCACTCGAACCCTGCCACCGCGATGCCGCTTGCTGCTCCGGTCCCCGCGAGGCCGATGAAGAGCCCCGAGCCCTCGCTACTGGCGAACAGAGACGCTCCGATCTGCGAAGACACGGGGAGGGACATGGGGACTCACCTCAATCTCCACTCTCCTGCTCCTCTACCCCACTGGGGCAAGCCTGCACCCAGCCCCTCCCCTTACCGGTCCCCACCCAGCCCTTACCCTTTATTTTGATTTTACTATTCGCACAAATAAAAATAAACAAGGTCAAAAGGTGTGCAGGTGAGGTTGGAAACCCAAGAGGGGTAATATGAAACCCACACCAAAAAAGGAACAATGTATTTACAAAACAGATTGTTCGAGCAATTAAACAAATCATACTAATTACAATTGAACATGTTAAACTCATGACTGCAGGGATTCATATTCTTGGTTCTTTCGGTAAAGTCACGTAGAAGGGAAATAATAAAATAATAAAAATATAAAACAATATTGTGACTTTACCGAAAGAGACAAGAATATGTTAAACTCAGTGTTAAATAAAACATGTTTATGTTTGCGTGAACATGTGTGCTTATGCGTGTGTGGGAGTTAGGCTACATGGAGGAGACTACTGGGTAGTTTGGCTCATCAAGCTGACCCATAGTCTATGCTTGAAGTTATTGAGGGATGATGATATTTTGGCAATATGAAGATAGGAATTCCAGAGTAGGGAACGTCTGTATCTGATGGAGAATTGACTTTGTGTGTGGTGTGGCAGTGGGGAGGGTGAAGGTTGTATCGGAGTGTCTTGTGTTGTATGCATGGAATTTGGAATTAACCTGGAAGAATACTTTGCAGGGTTTCGGTACGATGTCTTGGAGTTAAGTGTATTTAGAGATGAACGTGCATATTTTTAGTATATTGATGTTGTAGATGGACGTGATATTGAGTTTCTTAAACATTGGGGCAGATGGTATCAAGTAGTTAGAGGAGGTGGCCAGTTCTTTTGGATGGTGTAATTTATGTAGGTAGGAAGAATATGTATTAGCCCAGCCAATATTGCGGAAGATGAGATATGTGTAAATTAAGCTGTAGTATAGAGTATGTAGCATAGTTAGGAAGCAAGCCTGATGAACCAAACCAGCCCCTCTCCTTACCGCCCCCACCCAGCCCCTCACCTTACCGGCCACCACGCCATGTCCCTTCCGGCGAGGAAGTAGCCCTGCAAGGTGTTGCGGCTCACGCGGCACGATGACTACAAGGAGCCGGGGGGGGGGGGAGGGAATGGTACATAGTCGGTCTCGCCATGAAGATGGCCCAGATCCGAAAGCGCCGATCGACACTGCTGAGCCCGGGGTTCGACCCCAGGCAACGCGGCTCGTAATATAACACGGGAACTGTGGCAAGTTGATGCTCTCAGCCCTGGCCACCGATGATTACTCTTCATTTGGATACATTCCCACTAAATTGTGAGAATTAAAAACATATCAGAAATACGAAAATTGAAAATAGCACATGATTCACGACGGCGCTAATGATTATCTTGGGTTAAATATTCAAAGCATCGGGTTGATCATCGTATAGTGGATGACGTGTGGGAGAGTGCCCTCCCTTGCTGTGAAAGGACAACAAAGCCACTTGAATAGCTCCGAGAGAGGTTCTGTGAAACCCTCTTCCACGGGCCGCTCTCTGACACAGATGAGGTGGTGCTCTGTGAGATTTCCTAATGGATTATTGGCATCAGGACGTGATGCCGATAGTACCTCTGGAGCGTGTAGGAGTTATTTTTGCTTCGGCGACTTTGCACTCCCACCCTACGATTTTCTGTAACTCTATAGATATATCTGTAACTCTATGCACCTCCATGTAACTTTATGTAACGACAATGCCCTGTAACTGCCATCACTGCCCAGGGCAATGAATTGTGATCGTCCTTTTAACAGAGTTGCTTAGCTCAATACACCTCACCATCTGAGATAAAGTCCGTGTCTGACAAGTTGGCAGGGCCAATGAGCCAATGAAAATCCGAGACAGCGCAAGTCGCTGCTCACGGCCGCGAATTGGTGACTCATTGTCCAAGGCGCGCGCCCCCTGTTAACGCGTAACGGAGCAGACTGAATGAATGCACCCCAGCTCGTCAGGAGTTGAACCCGCTGAGTGCGTGTATGGGAGACTGCCTGGGAACAGCGGCAGGTGTTATAGGCTCGGGCCACGAGATGGGCAGCAGATGGCAATACACCAAGCCATCTGTGTGGAGTGTGACGTGTTACCTCCTCGCATGCGTGAGTTTTCTCCTGCACACGGGGCTCGAATTAAACATTCATTTGCCCAATAAGCCGAACGCAGCAGCGTGTTTTTGTACCAGTTGAGGGTCTTGTGTCATCTTCCCTGGATACCGAGAATCATTACCTTAATGACAAGCAGTCGCGCACCCTCACCCACCGTTATCCACCATCACTGCACCTGTTGCTACCGCCCCAATCACTCACCCACCCTCAATCATCCTCACCGACGCCCATACTCACCCACCCTCGCCGACCCTCACTCATCCTCACTCTCCATCATCTCCCCCCTCCCTCACCTCCCCCTTCCGCGCTAACCCCATAACCCCACACTCACCACACGCTCACCCCATGCCCCCACACTCACCCCATGCCCCCACACTCACCCAAACGCACCCACGCTCACCCCACGGCCCCACGCTCACCCCACACTCACCCACACGCCCACGAGGACGTTGAGCGCGAAGTAGGCGGCGATCACCACGATGTCGGCGGTGCTGAAGGAGGCGCCCATCCCATACCCGGGCTCCGTCTCGTTCCCCGGGCGGTAGCTGCTGCTGTTCCCCTCCTCCATTTCGGCCCCTGCTGCTGCTGCTGTCGCCTCTAGCACGCAAGTGAGACGAGGTGAGGCCCCTCACGGCGGGGCCGGTGAGGGGGAGCAGGATGGGAGGGGGGACACTGTGACTCGGTACGCATCGCCGCGCAATTAACAACACCCCCCCTCGCCCCAGCCCCTGCTTGCCGAGCCCCGTCTCCCGTGTTTGTCCCCCTCGTTAACCCCTCGCGGGGATCACGGAGGGGGCGGAGGGAGGTAATGGTCTGGAAAAGTCGGAGTGGTGGATAGTGGTGCCATGTGTCGCCCGCCCGTGCCCGTGTGTACTCTCATCGTACAGGACACATCCACCTGTCACGACCTCCCACCACCAACAGGCAGACTCACACACACACAGCTGCTACACTCACCCAAACAGGCAAAGACAAAGATCTAGTATTTTTACCTAAACACACTGTTGGGGCAAGTGCTGTTAGCGAGCACCTATGAAGGCCGGCACGGCACACGAGGGTGGCCAGCACCACGCCCGGCTACCTTTGTCTCCCCAGTTCTGATGTTTATTCATTGTATCTGGTACTGATTTGAAGCTGAGTCGACCTAGGAGAGGCCCAGGACTGGTTCAGATATGTTTTTGCTGTGTACGTGTCGTTTGCCTCCCTGGGTGCCCTTACAAACGAGACGCGATGGATTCTCCAGGTGAGCAGTTGTATACATTATAAAAAACAAATACGTGGTGAGGCTGCAAGAGAAACGGAGCCGGTAATCGGCTCGGGAAGGGGGCCGAGTGCCTCATGAGTTCGCACGAAGCAGGTGACCCATATTCACGCAGTGACTATGCAGAGGAGTCGGCTTCCTCCCATGTCTGTCTCCACCTAAAAAATTGTTTTACACATCCCATCAGCCACCCGGTTTTCCAGGAGTGCATACTTTCAGCAGCAAGCAAAACTCTGGAGCGGTGTTACAGCAAAGAGCCTCCTCTGTTAAAGATGGGTCTTGGTTCGATGCAAAACTCTGGAATCTACAACGCAGAATATTCACTCGCGTCACTGAGGAGAATATAAATAACAAACTGACGCAGCCAATTTGCTCCCTTCACATTTACGTATCTCCACTTAAAGACCGTTGGCTTAAGCCTCATTGCTGATGAGATACTGACTATCGAAATCGGTAAAGAGATTTGCTTGTGTTGAACCAATGCTGTTGAAATGATGCACTCCCACTGAGGGCTGTGTGTGGAGCAGCGGGTGGACGGATGGAGGAGGCGCTCTCCTCCTGCTGGCGGTCTTGGCGGTGGAGGCAGCCGCTGGGCGCTCCGATGCTTCCCTCTACCGGTCCCACGTGGCGGTAACTGCGGAGATAAATTCAGGATGTGTCGTGGCTTCAAGTGCCAAGTGTATTTGTGTAGTCAGGTAAAAACTAGTCTGCCAGTCGGGCGCAATGATTGCTGCTGGGTGTAGAGTCCCGATTACGTAATTTGCGGGTAACTTTTAAATTTGGCAAACGTGGACCCTGACGTTGGCACGCAATGGCCTACACTTACGAATGACGTCAGGGGGTCTTTCACATCCACTGCGAATCACCAGCGCATAGTAGCATTGTGGTTAATTACACCCGCAGTAATAACCAGGGCAGCCGCTGCATTTGACCCGTGAACGTCTGCAACAAGTGGTGAACGCGCTACCGCTGGGCCACGCGTCCACCTACTCATGCGATCATCTCCTTTGGATATTGAGCCAATGGTAGAAATTCGACATTTCCGTGGCAGAATCCGGCGTTTTAATGTTAGACGATCACTGTCGATATCCACTCGCTGTGATAGTGCTAATTGTATTGCTCCCAAGAGGATTATGATCGGCTGAGTTAAACTCGCGTATGGTGGGGTAACGTGTGGGTACGCGCACCTCTCCAAACACGTCTGGTGAGCCAGTATACCAAATTCCCTCTCGATCTTCCTCTAGTGGAGGCCCTCCCGTCAGCATTGGGGTGAGCGAGCACTTGCAGTGCTGCGCCTTTGCTCGCCGTCTCGCTGTCTCTGCTCGCGACACGCGAATCTCGGCTACATCGTTTGGCACCCATTGTCGGGTCCGGTGCTGGCTCAGCGGTGGAGCGAGCAATCTGAAAGTTGCGAGTTCCAATTCTGATTGGGGGTTGACTCAACCCACCATCCTTCCTTCCGGAGTCGATAAAATAAGTTTAACTTTTTGGATAAGTGGTAGTTGTCTTGTTGCGTGTGTGTACTTGTGTGTGTGCGTTCGAGATGTATATTGTTGTGCAAGCTCAGTTGACGGCGTATTGGGTGACACCGAACACCCCTCGCGAAAAGGGGTCCGCGCCATGGCGCCCCGGGGTTTCCAGAGGTCGCGTCTGTAACTGGAGAGACGAAATTATCATAGCAGAGGCGGATTGAAGCATCATAGGTGGAGACTACATTCGAGTATGTACCATGGGGTCCTGGTTGTTATCAGATTCAGTCTTAAATTGGCTCATGAACAGTTACCCATTCGTTCCATGAAAAAGGATCATTGTCCGAAACGTCACCTGTTATATATAGTTGCTGGCCCTTGATGTTTTGAGCCTGTGCTCAGCAAATGCGTTCATATAAATATCTATGTTTTTCTCACAAGGCCACCCGTTGTTGCTGGCGAGTGTCGAGTTGTGTTGCGCGCCCCGGGCCCCAGGCGGGGCCACACATCGCCGCGTGTAGCCCGAGTCTGCGTGCCATGGGAGATGTCGCGGGCCAAGAATCGCATGAGCTGATTCTTCCCATGCAGAGTATATTCATGGAAATCACACGAACGTGTAACGCAGCGCCGTCATGGCCGCGCAGTCCTCGCTCGCTCTCGAAGAGAGAGGACGACTCAGTGGCGCGAGGACGACCCAAAGACAAGTGGGAAGGCAGCAGCAACGACGCGGTGAGCCGGTGGCGAGCCAGGATACGGCTCCTCCTTGACGCCCACAGGAGAGGAAGTTCACAACCTTTGTGTGATCCACCAACTCTCGCTGGCCCTACACAATGGCGGAGCCAGGATTTTCAGGGAGGGGGGGCAACCCCTCCAGCAATGAAAAATGATAGGAGTTGTTAGTAAGTAAGGACTTGTCCCTTGCTTTTTATTCGACGTGTGTGCAGCGATGGCGCAGCCATCGATCGAGGGTCGAATTCGAACCGCGTTGTGTGATCGGCATTGCGCTCGCTGAAGGTGAATTCCTTCAGGGAAGTCGTGTACTGTATACGCAACTGCGCACAATTCTGAGTCACTTATAACTGCTTTGCCGTTACTTATTGCCAATTATGGACTCAGACTATTGTCCTATCATCTCATAGAGTTGTGGTGCCACGACCACGGAGCAACTCCGCAAACGCCGCACTCCCCTCCCGGCCCCCACACTAAACACACACCCACACACAGTGCACCCACGTATTGTCCTGACGGGGGTTGCCTGGCACATCGGGTTTTGATTCGAAGGGCCCCTAGAGGGAGAGTCCCACGGTTTCCCGGTGCCAGGAGATTGGCCGACCCCCACAGGACAGGTTACATTGCGGTGCCCCTAAATTGGCTTAAGATTTTATGGGCGCAGAACGAAAAGTTCATTGGGCAAACCGCAATGAGTTACGACACTGGGAGAGGCGGACGGTGGAATATTAGGCCAGAAGAGCAGTAGCAGACCCCGTGGCCCTCCATGTAGACAGCGCAGGTGAGCACGCGATTGACTGCGCAGTACAATGCCACCCTGGGCCTTTGAAGTGAGGGGATTAGGCCACGGTAGAGACGGTGGAGAGGGACGATGACGGGGGGCACGGGTAAGCGCCCGATTGGCTGCGCGGTATGACGTCACCCTGGGCCTTTGAAGTTTAGAGAATAAAAATTGGTGCCCCGGGACGGTGAGTTCAGTTGTCTTCAACCTCCGGGCGATCCAGACCCCTCCCCTGCTGTCCTGCCTCCTTGAGCCACTCGCAGCATCCGTGTGATGCCCGCGAGTGTTGCTACGAGGCAGTGATCAGCGAGGGTTTCGCTCGTCCTTCACCCTCCGACTCTCACGGCGTTCATGCGACGCCGTGAGTACAGCTACGAGGTACGTGGTAGAATGTTTGTTTAACTGGGGTCATAGGCAGAGTTAGGCTAGGCTCTCCTCACGAAATATTCCTCCTCCGGGTAATGTGTATTGGCGCCATTAATAAACTTTCCCACAGAAGATCCGTGTGGTGTGATTTTTGTGAGTGTGGGGAAAGTGTCAGCGTAGAGTATAATTCGAGCGTGTGTGTGTGAGGCAGCGCGGGTAGTAATTAATTAATGGCTCCCGTTACCGGGGAGCCGCATTATTTCTGTGTGTGTGGGGAGAGCGTAGGTGTGGTGTGAATGCGTGCGGGCGTGTGAAGCGCGCGTGTATTCCATCATAAACAATCGCCGACGCTCGCGTGCGTGTTTACACAGCGCGTTTTACGCAGTGTGTTTACGTAGCGATGATCGCATTAACGATGGGGGCGCGCGTACCTTATCGTCAACCCGGCCGTCGTTTTGCCCGCGTGCGCGTGCCCGCGTGCTTGCACAGCGGATTAAAGCCGATCCCGCGGGAGGGGGGAGGGGCGCATGCTTATTCACACGGCTATTTTTATCGTGAGCCGTGGTGAGCAGCGTGCACCAGTATGGGCACGCGCGCGCACGCAGCCACCTCCGCATTAGTGGTGGTGTACGTGAAGTGTGTGGGATAACCCCAGACGGTGGGGAGCCAGCCACTAGCCATGTCCCACAGAGAGGACGCTGGTGCGGGGAGGCCGATCACTTGATCGGCGACAGCCCGACGAGAAGGGGCAGAAGAGGAGGGGGAGAGGAGGAGGGGGCCGTCAGCTCCCACAGAGTCCCTGGCACGTAATATAATGCTACATAGTGACAGTGGGGGTCGCAAAATGCCGATTTATTACTAATAAACCCAATGATGCGATCTAAATGAGGGATTTCGATCGGATCATTGGGGGGCACGTGCCCCCCCCCCCCCCCCCCCACAGTGCTGGATCACAGGTATCCCACCACCACCCGGCGAACCACGCAGCTGACGTGTCCGGGGTGGGGTGTGATGGAACTTCGAAATGGGGTTCCGGCAAGGGGCGCGAGTGCCTCCCCAGCCGCCCGATGAGTCCGGTCCCCTCCACTCGGTCCAAAGTCAGCGCAGAGCCAGTGGTGTGAGGGAGGGCGAGTCTATCCATAGAAAAATACCGCGTTTGACTTACCCACAAATTAGTGATTATTTTATCGAACCCAAAAAGAGGGATAATGATGAGCTGATTCAACCTCCAATCAGGATTTTAACTTGCAACCTTCCGACAACGAGCCGTTCGCTCGAGCCAGGTTAGTGAGTAGTGCAGTGGAGTGAGTCGTGTAGTGAGTATTAAGTGTGCAGTGAGTTTCGATTTAAAGCTTTCGTGACTGCAAGATTCATCTTCTTTGGTTCTTTCGGTAAAGTCACGTAGAATGAGAATAAAATAATAAATTGATCAAATAAAATAACACAATAAAATTCTCACGACGTTTCGGCCACAACACAAGCGGCCTTCATCAGGTGAAGGGACGAGACTGTCTGGAGGACTGCGCTGGAGCGAAAAAGCCACGCTCAGATCGCGACCTTTAAGCTGTGTGAGAAGAAACAGCGCCTTCACAAAGGAATTAGCATATAATTTAGAATTGAAACAGCTGAGTGATTAGCTTGTGACTGGTCACAGAAATGGCTATGTTAAAGTTAAAGCATCCACATCCACAGAGGCACCCCTTGACAAAGGAATTAGCATAGAATTTAGCATTGAAATAGCTGAGTGATTAGCTTGTGACTGGTCACAGAAATAGCTATGTTAAAGTCAGAGCATACACATTCACAGAGGCACCTAGTACAAATCAAACAGAAGAATTTAGCATTGAAATAACTAGGAGAATTTAGCATTGAAATAACTGAGTGATTAGCTTGTGACTGGTCACAGAAATGGCTATGTTGAAGTCAAAGCCTACACATCTGAGCTATTCACAGTAACTGGGTATACACTACAATATATAATGAATACTATATAGTGAACCAATAAAAAACTAAAATATAAAATCAGCTACCTGATTGGAGAATATATAGAGTTTATTGATAACATTGAGGTAATTTATATTTTAGTTTTTTTATTGGTTCACTATATAGTATTCATTATATATTGTAGTGTATACCCAGTTACTGTGAATAGCTCAGATGTGTAGGCTTTGACTTCAACATAGCCATTTCTGTGATCAGTCACAAGCTAATCACTCAGTTATTTCAATGCTAAATTCTCCTGTTTGATTTGTACTAGGTGCCTCTATGAATGTGTATGCTAATCACTCAGCTATATCAATGCTAAATTCTATGCTAATTCCTTTGTCAAGGGGTGCCTCTGTGGATGTGTATGCTTTAACTTTAACATAGCCATTTCTGTGACCAGTCACAAGCTAATCACTCAGCTGTTTCAATTCTAAATTCTATGCTAATTCCTTTGTCAAGGCGCTCTGTTTCTTCTCACACAGCTTAAAGGTCGCGATCTGAGCGTGACTTTTTCGCTCCAGCGCTGTCCTCCAGACAGTCTCGTCCCTTCACCTGATGAAGGCCGCTTGTGTTGTGGCCGAAACGTCGTGAGAATTTTATTTCGTTACTTTACTTGATCAATTTATTATTTTATTCTCATTCTATGTGACTTTACCGAAAGAACCAAAGAAGATGTGCAGTGAGTGTTAGATGACAGGGTAAACTCAGGTGATGAGGTGGGACTGTCGATAATGAGCGTGGAGTTTAGTGATAGGGGTTGGGTGAGCGATGGGGAGAGGCTTTACAAAATCACTAATCAGACAAGTCACCCCCTATCAATATCTGCTCTTACACATCCCATCTGCCACGTGGCCTTTTGGGAGTACACGATTTCAGTAGTGTTGGTTTATTACAGGCAAACTCTGGACCGTTTTAAACATTCCTGAGTCTCATCAGCAGTGTCAGGCTTCATTAAACCAAGGGTGTGCTTGTGTTGTATATATGTTGAACTTCTTTCTCACCGTATGTAGCCATCCGTGCTAATCGGCGAGTGTGGTTTGTGTGCGAGGGAAGGACAACAAACTAAACGCTCCCATTAGGCAGTGTGGCTGATGGGATGTGTAAAAATGCGTTTATGTGGAGGGGCAGATGTCTGCTTAGTGATTGTGTTATATTCTCCATAGTGACGCTCGTGATGGTGTTGAGATGATGTAGGCAGTGGTGGAAATGTGTATTGTAGAGTTGCCACTGAAACATTTTCCTCCTGCAGCCAAGTTCACAGCCACAAAGACACTCACACCCAGTCACCCTCATTCATACACTCTCACACACGCACGCATACGCCCTCTCACGTTACTCACCCTATCACAAATTCACAAACCGTCTCACCCTCATCAGCTATCTCACACTCACCCACTCACTCACTCTCACTGCTGTTTCCCCTCTGCGGAAACCCCGCAGTGCAGGGATAGGAGGAGCCGTTGTGAGCCGTGCCGGTTCGTGTGTGCGGTGCGGTGAGCAGAGTGCCGGGGTGCAGACCGGCCGTCGAGTACCGTGCACATCTTCACCAATGGTTGTAGGTGGTTGAGGCAGGGCCAGGTGACGGCGGTCGAGTCATTGCCTTCCCGGCCACGCAGAGTACTGCAGGGCGGGTTTGATACGGCAGCAGGCTCGCCACTGAAACATACTCGGCGCCAGGGGGTGCTCACGGAACCGGGAGTGGAGCCTTCGCCCCGCCGACCGCCGCGTGATTGATCCGCGACGGCCTCAGCGGCCGTGGCAGATCCTGCAGAAAACTCCGTGGCGCGAGCGGCTCCGAGGCGTGGGCGAAACTCGTGGCAGCGGAGACGACGGCGCCGCTCACAAACCGGACTGGCCGGCACGCCCTGCCCGGCTCTGTTCCTCTCACCACCACCACACTGTCCGAGTCGCGTCGATTGAGATCACGCACGTTAACCAAAATTCAATGCAGTCGTCAGTAACACTCTGGCTAAGGTGACGTTTCGGGCGGTGGCCTTTTCCTCAATTATTAAGGGCCATTGCCCAAAACGTTGCCTCCTAGTACATTTCGCTGACTCGTTCTGCAATCACTCACACTACACTACACACAATATATATTTACCATTTAAGGCAGTATTATTGCCTTTCATAGTTCATGAAGTGATATTGCCTGAAACGTCGCCTATTATATAGTTTTGCTTTTAAGGCCACCGTGTTATTGACGAATGTTGTGTTGAGTTTGTTTCATCATGATGCTTGTGCACCATTGCCAAGGCAGCAGCACCACCAGCAGGTATTCATGCTACACGAGCACTGTCCGCGCATTTGCGTGAACCGTAACCTCAATGAGAAGCAAGTGATGTGGATTCCGCGACTGTTCCAATCGGCCTGAGGTTCTTAGCGTGACGATTCTGCGATAAATCTGTCCGTGGACGCGTTAACAGGAAGAATTCGCCCTCACTGTTTTCACAGCGCTTAGCTGCAGGTGATTGTAAGCAAGCGGTGTACTGAGCTACGTGTGGGGAGCGGTGGCGCAGCGGTTAGCACGCTGTGCTGCGAACCCGACGACCAGAGTGCCATTCCCGCTCACGATTAACAACAGTGGCGAATATCTGAACCGGTTCTAGGCCTCCCCTAAGTCGACTCAGCCTCAAATGAGTGCCTGATGCAATGTGTAAACATTGCCACTGGGGAGGTAAAGGCGGCCGCGCGTGGTCAGGGCCACCTACTTCCTCGTGTCCCATGCCGGCCTTGATTGGTGCTCGATAACAGCATTTGCCCCAACAGTCTGCTAAAGACTATACGGGGGATCTTTGTTTTTGTACTTAGCTACGTGAGCCTTGAAGCAGTCGTGTTGGGCTGATTATTTTGTATTGTCCATTAACAGGAGTTTGGTTTTGCGTGGGATTGTCCTTCTTCTGGCTACCTTGCGGCCCAAACCCTACGCCTGGCATTGACAAGGAGTCCCCGTACAAGCAAACACGCATCAAGCAGACTCAATTCTGGCTATCACCTGAAGAAGCTCATTGTAATCAGCAGCGAAACGTCGTACTTGAATTGTAAATGTTGTGGGTTTCCTCTCCAATCCACCGCTGTGCTGTAATAACTAATTGTCACTTTCTGTTTACATGACAAACATTACTAATTGGCTGTCGGGGGTGGCGAGTTTAACGGCACATTTATATTTACGCGATCTAACCCAAAACACGTGATCAACCTGCTTAACTTCCGACGTGTGGTGAGATCGGGCGTGCTCGGGGTGCCTCGTGAAAGAGGCGATTTCAAAGTACCACGAGACGCAGTCGTTCCGACAAATGTTTTCAACGGTGGCATTTCAAGATGTGTTGTCAGCAAGTATGGCATTCACAGCGGGGCACGCATGGGGGCGGGGGCCGGGGTGGATGGGTGGGGGCGCAGTGCTGGGGGGCCTTGCCTTTGGAGAGCGGTGGCGCAATATTTAGAGCAATGCGCTACGAACCCGGAGACCTGAATTCGAAACGCGCTCACGACCAACATCGGTGACGAAGATCTGAACAGGCGTGGTGGGTAAACATCAGCTTTTGGAAGGCAAAGGCGTCCGTCCGTGTATGGTGCTGGCCATCCCTCCCCCTCGTGTGCCGCTCCTGCCTTAATAGGTGCTTGCTAACAGCACTTGCACCAAGAGTCTGTTGAAAACTATAGGAAACCTTTGTCTTGCCTGCGCCAAATGCTAGGGTGGCCGTCTTTTCCACGCAGAACGGGCCCGGGCACGGGTCTAGACAGTCCGCCTAGACTTATCGGCACCACTGTCTATTCTCCTGCGATCTCGGTACAAATCAATCCCTGCCACCCGAACACAACAGACGCCGATTAACGATGGGGGCGCGCGTACCAATCCCTGCCATTTGTCCGGGTCAAACCCGGACAAATGGCGACCACAGGTGACAATGAGTGACAATTCCCCTCGATTCGTTTCGCATTGAATGAAGGCGGTGGGAGTTTAGGAGGGGCGCAATCGATGGAGCTCGTCTGGGTTGCGGCCTCTGCGCGGCCCTGCGGCCCAGCCACGGAGTTTTCTGCAGGAAACCCGCGGATCTGGCAGCTCTTGGGAACGACCCCCTGGGGAAGGCAGGGGAAGGGAGAGAAGGGCGGGGGAGGGGGGCAGTTGGAGGGAGGGGGCTGCAGCTGGAGGTTGGGGGGGGGCTGCAGCTGGAGGGGGGTATTGGATATTTGAGCAGTCACGTGACCCCGGGAGGTTGGGGGAGAAGTTTAAAATCATAACAAGAGCAGTGATTGGCTGGGGGCCTGCGAAGTGAGCGCGGGGACCGAAATAATGAGGCGGAGCATTCGCCTCCTCCACCTCTATCCGTCCCTCCACAAAATACAATACAAGTATTTTTTTGCACATTCCATCAGCGACACGACCTGCGAGCGCATAGTTTCAGCAGCACTGGCTCGGCACAAGAAAATTCTGGGCCGATTTCGACATTTAATGTTTGATCAGCAGTCAGGCTCGCTTGAGTTTATGATCCAACACAAGCACGCGTCTCCCGGAGCTCGCCGAGTCGCCGTGAAACGGATCACGAGGCCCATCGCCCGTGTCGCCCTCCCCGCTGTCTCCCTTCCCCATGCGCTGCCGCGCCGCTCTATCTTTGTGAGCCGAGCGCTGTGCTCTGCTGCTACTACGCTTGGACGGACGGAGCCCCACCCGTGCCACGGGCAGACAATGATCCCCGGTATAGTTTTTTTTACAGGAGTTTAGGGCTGTTGCTGTTAGCGAGCACCTTTGAAAACCGGCACGGCATTCAAGAAGGTGGATGGCCAACATCACGCCGGGTCGTCTTTGTCTCCCCAGTACTGATGTTTACACACCGCACCAGATACTCATTTGAGTCCACAGACACACAGACAAATATCTCTCGTATAGCCTTTAACAGAATGTTAGGGCACAGGCGCATAAACACAGACACACACGGACGTGGAAACTCGAACTCACATCCACACGCGAGGCACTCCTAATGCCCTCGCCCCGCCCGCCCGCCCGCCTTATTCTCCCTCGGGGAAGACCCCTCCCCCCTCCCCCGGACCGCGTCCCACAACCCAAGCCGAGCTCCACCTGGCGCGACTCCACCGACCCCCCGACTCCCTCCACTCCCTCCTCCACCAACAGCCCCCCGCCAACACTGCCCCCCAACTCCCTCGTTTCGCCACGCCCGGGTCGCTGCGACTGCTGTAGGTTTTCCGGCGCGGCAATGTGTGATGAACCGCACCACCATCATCCCATCAAAATCTCCTACTACAATCCTCCCATCATCCTCCCACCACGATTCTCCCATCACCATACTCCCGGCATAACCTACCACAGGTTTGCGGAGGAAATTAAACGATGGGAGAGTGAATTCCAAAGTGGAGCAGTGCGAGGGAAGGAGAAAGAAAAGTGAGGTGAACTGCGATGTGGTGGTGGTTAAGTGAGTGGGTGGGTTAGTGGGTGAGTTAGTGGGTGGGTGTGATTGAGGGCGCCCGAAGGCGAGATGTTAATTCCCTCGCCTGTTATGCAGGAGGCTGTGGGTTCGAACTCGACTCTGACACTTATATATTTGGAATTTGCATGTTCTCCCCGTGGTCCCGTGGATTTTTCTCCAGCTTTTCGGTTTTCCTCCACATTTAGAAAAACCCGTTAAGAGCTTTTGGCTTTTTTTACATTTCCACATGATGATATGCTACTTCGTTGAACTATCATTTGTGGCCAGGTCGCTTCTGAAAAAGAGCTTTATAGGTTAGTGGGCCTTATTCTGGTAAAATAAAAATTGTCAATCAAGTGAATGTGTTGTACCTGGGCTGTGTGCTTATGACCAGTTCCGCTTTGGCAGCAGAGGTCTTACTCCGAATCAGACGAGCGGTATTATTTTTTCATCAGCTGCGTAAGGTTGTGTAGATACTACCGGGCATGTCGCTCCATACGAAGCTCCGGGTTATGTCGGTCGCAGTTATGCCCTCTCTTCTCTAAGCTTGTGGAACGTGGAGCCGTTTAAAATAACATCTGCGCCGGTTTGAAACATTCAGGCTAACCTGCCTAGGATCCCTCCTGGGTTTAACCACATTGGAATGTATGAACAGCTTACGGATCCTTGAAAGATCTGGACACAGTGCCATCATCGGTGATCTCCTCCGGCAAGAGAGACTGCATTGGCTGGGTCATGACGTCCTCATGACCAGCTAACGCATGCGCAAAGCACTTCTGTTTGATCGGATAGAGGGGGCTAAACGGGCGCGGCACGGGCTAGAGAATAATCGGTGATCTCCTCCGGCAAGAGAGACTGCATTGGCTGGGTCATGACGTCCTCATGACCAGCTAACGCATGCGCAAAGCACTTCTGTTTGATCGGATAGAGGGGGCTAAACGGGCGCGGCACGGGCTAGAGAATAATCGGTGATCTCCTCCGGCAAGAGAGACTGCATTGGCTGGGTCATGACGTCCTCATGACCAGCTAACGCATGCGCAAAGCACTTCTGTTTGATCGGATAGAGGGGGCTAAACGGGCGCGGCACGGGCTAGAGAATAATCGGTGATCTCCTCCGGCAAGAGAGACTGCATTGGCTGGGTCATGACGTCCTCATGACCAGCTAACGCATGCGCAAAGCACTTCTGTTTGATCGGATAGAGGGGGCTAAACGGGCGCGGCACGGGCTAGAGAATATGTGGAGGAGGTTCGTGAAAAAAAGTTACTGGGCAGTTGGAGGTAGTCGCCCTGCAGCAACAACGGAGAGCGGAGAAGCGACGCTCGCAACAACGAGCGGATCGCGCCGGGCAATTAAAACGCAACAAGTTGGCACAGAGAGGAGCATAGTTTATGCATCTGCACCTCCGCTTAGCACGGTTGGTTACGTGTGGCGCGAAATAAATGTAACATACATACATTTGCCAGTCTGTCAACGCATGGCACCTGGGTCTGTTCGTGACCTCCTTCCGGCGAGCCTTCGACACTTTAAGTGGCCTCAAAGTGAACCTAGCGTGGCACACGCATCGTGGTGACGTCATCGCCACTTAAAAGCTTACGGCGGTTCATCTTCTTTGGTTCTTTCGGTAAAGTCACGTAGAATTTGAATAAAATAATAAAATAAAACAATAACATTCTAACGACGTTTCGGCCACAACACAAGTAGCCGTCCTCAGGTGAAGAAACAGGACTGTCCAGAAGACAGCACTCAAGCGCTGTCTTCTGGACAGTCCTGTTTCTTTCTACGTGACTTTACCGAAAAAACCAAAGAAGATGAATCCTTGCAGTCACGAAAGCTTTAAATCGAAATCTTACGGCGGTTGGTGTACGTATATATGTTCAACTTCGCTCGCACCGAACGTAGCCAACCGGGCTAATGGGAGGTGCGGAGGAAGGACAACAAACTAAACACAAAAGACTGTTTTAAAGAAATGAGTTGTGACCTGCAATGTTGTGGTGGTTGAACACAGTTTGGATGAGGCGAAACAGCCATTATCTGGTAGAACGGAGTTTTTAACTTGGTGGAGGAATCATAACCATTGAATGTAGTTCACAAGAAGCAGTGGTAGAGAGAAGAGGGATAGGGAGGCGACTGACCAGCAGTGACT